TAAACTATCTTGAAAAAGACACTCCATAAGGTATTGCATTTTCTCATGAAACTAGTTGAATCGGATGAAGAAATATCTCTGTTGTCAAGAACATTGTCGAAAATTATAAATAAAAAATCGGTTCGACAATATTTTAGTAAGTTTCAAACTCGAAATGAGACAGATGTCAAAACAACATGACAATAATGAAAATTTTCTGAGCAAAATTGTTTGAATATCAGCAAGCTCAAATGTTCATCCCAAAGTAGTCAAACAAAAAAGTTCAATGTGTCCTCACAACCTGATATTATGAAAAAATTAGCTTGTTTTGAATGTGGTGGAATCGGTCACATCAAAACTGAATATCTGACAGTTTAAAAAAAAATGAAAAACTTGTCTGCCAAGTGGCCTGGAGTGAATACGGTGAAGGTAGTTCTATCGCTGATGATGAAAAAATTATTGTATTTATGATCAATAATAGTAAATCAAGTAAAATTCATGATAATACATGTTACGGAGAAAGTTCTAAGGAAGCATAAAAATTGAATATTTATAAGTTTATTGAAGCATATAAATCTATTGTTTCTAAGCAAAAAACAGATCTCTTGTGAAGATTAATGAGCTTTTTGACACCATTTATCTAGTATGAGCAAAGCTTGAGAAGATGGATACCGAAAATGACAAGTTAAAAGAAGATGTTTAAAAGAAGTCTACAATGATTAATGATGTGGAGAATGAGTTCAACTTCCTTCGCAACTTCTTAGAAGGCAAAACAAGTAAAATTTTATTGAACTAAAATAAAATGAAGGCATTTTTTCTAGGAGTTCAATGACACCGAAAAGCATGTTATTGGCTATGAATTGATTGTATGTGGTTTTGTTGTTGTAAGGCATGAAGAAAACTAAAGGAATTGACATTTCAAAGACCACTAAAAAGAGGTTTAAGATCTTCCATAGAAAATCCCAAAATGACACCAGCATCAAGAATCGTATGACTCAAAATAGCAAAATAAAAAATGAATGCATTCGTTCGAGAGTCCTAAAAGTATAATGAAGCCCTAATCATTTCACTATGCGGGAAAAGTGGTGTGCACATAGCGTGATCATGTCATAAATTTCTCATTTTTTTTCCACAAATGCCCAAAATGAGGTTCTAACCTATTCACCTAAAAATTGAAACCATACTAGGTACTAGGTACGTGGATGAATTTCTAAGGGAAAACATCAATCTTTAGTTAGATTTGAGTCAGCAGAAGATTACCTACTTCATGAAAAATGTCCTTTTGAGCTTCAACATCGGCGATGTCTTTAGCTAGGGAAAGAAACCCTTGAACACTGGAAGAAAAAATACTGAGTGGAGATGGTAGATCTTTCATAACTGAAACGGGCGGATAGCTTTGAATTTGTTGCAAAAAAAGAATTCTGAATGAGATGAAGGACCTCTGGTGGGAGAATTTCCATTGGACGAGGGAAATTTTTTGGACGCTATTACTAATCGTGGGGAAAGAAAAGTTGAAAAAAAAATGGTGGACGAGAGAGAGAAAATGGAATGACTTTTCAAGTAATGAGAGGGAAGATAGTTTCAAAATAATACGAAGTTATGACTCCTAGTAGTGGGGTATGTGAAAGGTGAAGGAGTATCGATAAAATGGTTTCCCTACCTCGGGCAGGGTGGCGACGATAGTAGACATCACATCATATTAAAATTTTCTATGAATTTAGGAATATTTCATTTCACTTATAGAGAGGGGTTTTGTTAAACCCAAAAAATAGATTGAGATGATAAAACCTAAATGAAGAATAGAGCTGTTGATGCAATTTTTCAACAATAAAAAGTAAAATCCGAAATTAGAAATTATCTTCGAATTTGATAAAATAAATGTCTGAGATTAGGAATCTCTAGGCTGTAGGATACATAAGTAAACTAGGAAAATAAAAACTACAGACTGAAAAAGTAAAGTGGTGATCCCCAAAAGCAATTCTCTTGAATTTGATGTCGATTGAAGATGGTTTCTTTAGGCCATGAACAGACCTATTTAAAACCCATGTCAACCGCCACAACCAAGTCGCGCCTTCATATCCGCTCGTCGGTTGTAACTTCCCTCAACCGTCCAAAACTACTTTTCGTCCAACCTGCACACCTGTTGTTCCGTCTCCTCTAGCCCATCTTTCACTTATCTGACCTCCGCATCAATCATCTCCTTGCCCGACTTCATCTCGCCCGACCTATCTGCCGTCCGACCTGGATGCATATCATCTCCTTCATCCGTCCTCTCCTTGCCCGACTTCATTTCGCCCGACCTTAGAGTATCCTACCTCAGTGCCCGACCTTAGCAGGTCCGACCTTCATGCCCGACCTTGTCACGTCCGACCTCCGTGCCCGACCTTGTCGTGTCCACCCTCAGTGCCTGACCTTATCAGGTCCGACCTCCGTGCCCGACCTTGTCGTGTCCGACCTCAGTGCCCGATCTTGTCGTGTCCACCCTCAGTGCTCGACCTTATCAGGTCCGACCTCCGTGCCCGACCTTGTCGTGTCCGACCTCAGTGCCCGATCTTATCAGGTCCGACCTTCGTGCCCGACCTTGTCATGTCCGACCTCAGTGCCCGATCTTGTCGTGTCCACCCTCAGTGCTCGACCTTATCAGGTCCGACCTCCGTGCCCGACCTTGTCGTGTCCGACCTCAGTGCCCGATGTTATCAGGTCCGACCTTCGTGCCCGACCTTGTCACGTCCGACCTCCGTGCCCGACCTTATCTTGTCCGACCTCCGAGCCCGACCTGATCACGTCCGACTTCAGTGCCCGACCTTATCAGGTCTGACCTTCGTACCCGACTTTATCACGTCCGATCTCCAAGCCCGACCTTACCGGATCTAACCTACGTACCCGACCTCAAAATCACAATGATCTCCCGAGGAAACCTTTTTCCTTAATAGCATTCGGACTTATTCTTGGACCCCCTTTTTCCTCAAGGTCCTACTACTGTTAATAGGCCTATTAGACTCTATACCAATCCTTAACCCAATTTAACAGGCCTATTCTCGAAAACCCTACACATTGGTTTTTTTTCTTGCTCAACAAGAGCCTAATTTGATAAAGCTCAAGAGAGATGGTGTTGGCATATATAAGAGTGTGAGGCCTATTCTTTGGAGATAAAAAAAAAAAACCTGGAGTTGGTGGATTATGACATTGATGCTGAAAGTTTTCGCTACCATTAAGTGATGACGGAAAAGCGTAACTGATGAATTATTGAATAATTTTAGAAGTTCAAGCCGTTATCCAATTATTATGAAAAGTTTAAATGACCAAATAAATGAATAAGGTTAGAGTTATGCACGTTACACATGTCTTCATGTTTTCTTGTATTTTCCTTGTTTGTATATTTTCCTCCAAGTTTTTTATGTTTTTTTTCAACTTTATTTCACTTATGTTTATACTTTTCTTCCTTTTTATCCAATTTAAATTAAAAATTTACTTCTTAAGTGGAGTTTGAGTTTATTTCGTCAAGTGGTTTTTTCGTACAAATTCTGCAACACGAAACATTTTGTCCTATGAGCTTTTTGGAATATCCTAAGGAACCCTTTACTATTTTTCAATTGGTTCTCTTAAGTCGTCGAAAAATTAAATATCTAATTTATTTAGTACAATAAATATATATATATATATTATGAACTTTTTTATAATGATCTTTAATTGGATGTTATCTTTACCTTCGGCCAAGGCCAATCTCGAACTATATCCCCAAAATTGTTGTCTAAATCAACTAGATGCTATAACCTCCTCATTCACTATCAAATTCATATATCATCAAAAAACAATCCAAAGAAAAACATCTTCATTTTGATTCCGAATATTTAAAATGACTGGCATATAAATAAAAATTAAGAATACATCAAATCTTTATAGATCAAGTTGTGAGACATTTTCGTTCGGAGACTATGACGAACCGTGTTTGATCTCAGGTGGGTGTGTGTGTGTGTGAATGTGTATAGGGTAAAAAAATCCTAAAAAGAAATAATGAGAACAATCAAATTCAAGAAGACAAAATAAATAAGATTCAAATATGACGGTTTATGAAGTTTGAGAAAACACTAAGACCCCGGTTGGGATTGTTCATCTTACTATAAATTGAAATAAAACATGTTTTAGATAGATCTTCTTTTTCTTTAGTTATAGAAAAGTTTGAAAAATAAAAATTATTTATTTAATACGATTTTTATGAAAAAAAAATAAATATTCAATGTGATTATTTAAAAAAAAAAAAAAAGTTGAATAATATCAAAACTATTAAAAAGTTTATGCGACCACACTGCTAGATATTGGAGCGTTCCAAAAACCAAAAGATTACAAATTGACCCTAGCTATTAAAAAAGATAATTCAAATTTAATTCTGTAATTAGAATCGTGGAAATTGGCACAGTGAAATATTTTTTTATTAATTAGGGCAAATGATTTATTATTACTATATACTGGGAAATCATGAAAATAGTAAATAACAGCCCTACCACATAATGATGATTTTAATATATTTGATATATTCAATCACAAATTAATGAATAAATTAATGTGTGTCCGCGTGCATATATATTTTTTAATGAAAAAGTTAATTTTTTTTTTTTTTTTAATGATGTGAAAATTCGCAGCCGTTGAAAGTTTGAACCATGACCTCACAGTCACAAACACTACCAGGTCATCCCTTACGAGACATAAAACAGTTAAATATCATTTTAGATTGTTTTAGATGAAGGTACATGTATTTATTTTATATATTAAATTAAAAAATAATTTTCATTCAAAAATCAATTAAAAATATATTAATATTATATCATATGTATTTATTTTAATTTAAAATTTTATTATTTATAATCCCGAATCCTGAGTCCGAACACACCCTTAAATTTCAAAAGTAGAAAACATCGTCAGCTATTAGAATAAAAATATTGTTTCTTTACATAATAATCAAACAAAATGTTTGAAAAAACAACAAAGGTTGTCTTCATGTTCCCACTCCCTCACGCCTATATATGATATGATACCTCATTTTCTTACCACCCAATTCTCCAAAACTTTCAACATAAATGTGAAAAATATCTCTTTTCAACTCGACTCGACTCGACTCTTCTAACACAAATCTTTCCAAAGCATCGGAGTATCCCGCGGTAAGTCTACGATCTTCAAGAAACCATTCTTATATATTCGGAATACAAAAGAAAAAAAAAAAATCGATCTTCTTGAAATTGTGTGTTGTATACACAAACATAATAATCCATTATAACTACATCTACCAATTCTGATTTATATTTTTACTTACAGATTGATCGGTTAGGGCTATAATTATTACTATGTTTTCGATACCTACAAGTTCGTATGAAGTGGGAATAGGAGGAATTTTTCCGGATTCTTTGCATTATTACCAAGTAGAAATGGGAAACGGTTCGGAGATGGTGATGAGCCCGGTGGAAGCAAAAGCGATGGCGGCGAGCAATAACCACAAGGAAGCCGAAAGGCGAAGAAGAAAGCGGATCAACGGTCACATTGCCACCCTCAAATCCATTTTACCAAACACTATCAAGGTATAACTATGGATATGTTTGTTTGGATGATTTGTTTTTATTTCTATTATTTAAAAAAAAAAAGAACAATTTAAAAATTCAAATTAAATATTTTTGTATTATATTAAAATTTAATTTTTATATTTAAAATATCACATCAATTCATTTAAAGTAAAACCCAGAAAATCGAAACTCCCAACAAATATGCCCTATATATATTGTGTCTCTTTCTAATACTATACATAAATATTATTCGGACTGTATATATAAAATTAAATCTACTGATATATTCCTTTCGTCCAGATTTAAAGTATCTAATCTCCCTCGCCCTTTAACAATCTATCTATTTTTTTATTTGATTTGTCTCAATTTTTTTTTTAAGTAATTGTACTTTCTACTAACATTAAAAACACTCTTACAATTTACAAGTACTAATAAGATTATTTTACTTTTTCTACTGTATTTATACCACATTCTAATATAATATTAATATTTTTAAAACTTAAAAATAAATGAATACATAGAGGGACAAATGAAGTATTTGTTTCTTTTTCTTTAATTAAAAATAATAATATTTTATTTATTGATAAAAAAGTGTAAGATGATATAATTATTTTTTTAAGAATTAAAAAAATAGTACTTCTGAAAAAAAATCAAAATTATTTTGATATTTATATATATATACATATTATTTTACTATAATAGGAAACTAACTTTGACAAAAAATAATAGTTTAAATTGATACGAATATATATATATATATATATAAATATTGTACTCTCTATGTCATTCAATTATGTGTTTATTTGATCGGGTATGGATTTTAAAAAAAATATTTAATAATAAAAAGTTTTACTTTTTATGGTAAAGAAATGTGATATTTTTTTACTAAAAATAAAATGAAAATAAATTTGAATGACAACCAAAATAAAAATAAAAATAAATTTGAATGACGGAGGGAGGGAGGAAGTATATATGCAGGTGAGGATTAAGGTAGGGTCTTAATGGTTTTGGTTCTTTGTTTCACACGGTCTCTTTACCGACCAAATGCATTACTTGAATTAGACATGTGATTTTAATCATTGCTGTTTTCAAATTTGGTAATAAAATCATGGCTTCAATCAATGTTCAAATTCTCCAAGGGCTGCGGATGACTATATTGGACTCTGTGACACGTCAAGGACTAAACTTAGTAATTTTTTAAAAAAATATATATTAAATATTTATTTCATTTTATAAAATTGATAAAAAAAATAAAAAATAAAAATAAAAACTTGATTTTATATGTTTTTAAGAAAAAATATATTTAATGTTATATATATATTTAAAAAGTTGCTAATGGTATAAAAAAAATATATCAATGTAAATAGAATAACTTTCGAATCTCTTATCTATACAATCATGAATTCTCAAAAGAAAAGAAAATAAAATAATAATAATGATAATAATAAAATAAAATAAAATTTATTATGAAAAGTTTCTCTAGTTTTTATGAGAACACGAGTCTGTGCTTGGACTTTTTGTCGTAAAATATAATTTATTGTATTCAAATATTTGTATTAAATTTTTTTTTGTATTTATATTAAAATAAAAATAAATTGTTTTATTTAAAACCTTATGTTAGTTATATAGATAGACGGAAGTACATGAGACTCCCCAAATTTATTTTTTTTTTAAAGTTTAAAATATATAATCATACTATTTTGCCCCCCAAATATTTAAATTTATTATTTTGCCCTTTTCAAAATTTAAGTTTATTATATATTTTATTATTTTTTTTATTTTAGTTTATATTAATATAATAATTTTAATTATATTTTATTTAAATAAAAAATATTAATTTTTTATACTAAATATTATTAAAGTTTCTCATTGCATTATATAGAAGAAAATAAAATTGAAGTAGTATATAAAAAAACATTACATGTTTCTATAAATTTTAAATTTTTTATAAAAAAATATATTTTTTAGCTATTTGTTTAAAAAAAGATATCGATGATTCACGATTTAATATATATTAGAATCAATTCGAATCATAAAAATTGAAAATCTACTAGACAATTTTGCCCTCCTAACTTCGAAAATTAGTTATGTCCCTAGTTATATGTACACACACATGGTAATACACCACCAACTATTATTTATTTTATTTTTTGTTGGGTTTATATGTAAAGTTAATTATGAGTTTTGTTGTGCAATTTGGGTTATATATATATATATGCTTAATAGTCCTCGTACACTCTGTGTTTTTAAAAAATATATTTTTTTTTTTACAAAATATCTTATTAATTATTATTTTTATATAAAATTTAAATTAATTTTTTTTTAACTCTTAAAAAAGAAACACACGGCGTGTGTATATGTATATATATAACCTTGCAAATTTGTAATAAAATGATAAAAATTAATTGTGGATTTGAAGACAATTAATGTGGTTGGGTACGTACGTACGTACAGACAGACAAGGCTTCCCTACTGGGAGAGACTGTCCGGCGAGTGAAGGAGCTGAGAAAAACAACCGCACAACTCCAACACGGCGCCGCCGCCGATGCAACTACTACTACAGCTTCCTCGGCGTCACTACTCCGGCTGATGTTCCCGAGCGAAACTGACGAACTCATCCTCTGCCAGTGCGAGGAGGATTCCCAGGTTGTCCAGGCCACGCTGTCCTGCGAGGATCGGCCGGAGACCATACTGGACCTGACTCAGGCGGTCAAATCGGCCGACGGAAAAGTGGTTAGAGCAGAAATGTCTACAGTTGGAGGAAGAACCAAGATGGTTCTGTGGGTGAAGCTCATGGGGGAAGCTGCCGCTGCCGATTCGGGGATACTAAGGCGGGCTTTGAGGAAGGCCATGGACAAGCAGCAGACGGGCTCGGGCTTGGGCCCGGGCCCGGGCTTGCTGGGGAGCAAGCGGGGGCGTTACCATCATGGGAAGGGACAGGAAGATGGTTGGTGGTGATTATGTCGGGAAAGACAAGCACGCCATTCATATATATATTATATATGCGCTTTCAGAATTTTATTTTTCTTTTATATAAAATATACTCCCTTCTTCGTGCAACTGTGTGTTTAGGGTTCATTTGACATACTACGAATTTAAAAAAAATAAATAAATAAAAGTAAAAAGAATAAAAAAAATTGATATTTTATAAAAAAAAAATAGACAAAAATAAATTCAGATGAAAACTAAAAATATAAAAATAAAAATAAATTAAAAATAAATTTGAATGATTGTAAATAAATATTAAATATTAACCGTAAAGATTCTGAGCAGTGTTTCTTTACTGTCCAAACTTCAATTTTGTATTATTTGAACATTTTCTAAAAACAAATACTATATATTTTTTTAATACTTAACTTTAACCAAAAATTTTCAAATATTAGAAATAAATATTCCCTGTTATAATAATAATAACAATAATAATAATACATCTCAAACATCTATTTTACATTCAACTATTTACTTATAACAAAACCAAATAAAATCTATAACAAACCCTAAGGGTGGATTTCTTTGGAAAAAATTTGGGTAAACTTAATTTTGATAGTATTAAAATAATATTTGATGAAATATTTTTATAAGATAAAAAGTATTTTTTTTTAATTAAAATTCAAAGTCTAAATAATAAAATTTGAAATATTTGTACTAAAGAAACAAGCCTTACCTGTGTCAGAGATGCTTCATTTTTTTCATTAGGAGAATTCTTCAGACGGCAATATCAGATAGAACTCAAAACAGCTTATTACAAAATTACAACCTTGTTTTGAACTACAAACTGCCTCCAAGGATTTACATCCTGTGGCTTATTCACTACTCTGAACCCCAAAAATATGTTTGTGTTCCTCTCTCAAGCTAAATCCTCTTTAGAGAGGGAGAGAAAGAGAAAGACGAACAGAATCATTAAAGATACTTGGAGTTAGTTAGTAAAATTCTACGACATCCCTACCCGACGGGCACATGGGAGTCCCGGAATTCTGCTAGCTTATCTACTCATTACAGCTGTTAGAGGAGCTAAATACATGCTCTATTACTGCTCTTAGTATTATACATGGGAGCGTACCTCATTGATGCACTGACCTGATGGTTCATAAGGTTGTGTGAACCTTCTCTTACAGTGCCCAAGAACAATTGAGGGCCCTCGAGTTAAATCAAGAATCCAATTCATCGAGATGATGAAAGCCTGCAGGTTGCAAGGATTTGGATGAAGAAAGATTAAGGAATGGCCATTATGGAGGCAGCCAGCTCGACCCAAATATATAACCAGAGATGTCTTCGGCACTAGAATCCTTGGTGCTGTCGGTGCTGTAAGAGCCGGCATCAGATGTGCTGAAAATGGAAGAACTGTCACTTAAATAATCCATCATAGAACTTCTATGTCTCGAGTGAACTCCCCAACCCTCGGGATCCACTGTGGGGTGATGATCAGTGAAATCGTTAGGAGTTAACCAATACCGGCTGTTTCTATCAGTACCCTTATGCGTCGTCAGCCCAGTATCCCGACAAGAAGAACTCAATTTTGTCTTTGAATATATCTTCTTATCTGTATGACCGGAACTTATGGCTTCCAAACTTGCCTTAGTTTTCCCATCATAACTTTTATTGTTGTTTCTGATGTACGGCCCAACTCGTGGCGTAAGCCTAATAATGTAAATCACCTTAGTATGAATTAATTCGGAAAAGAATGTGATTTACTTAAAAATCTTTTGCTAATTAAATTACCTTGAATAGAAGAGAATATATGCTTCTACTGACAAGACAGTCTCCAGGTCGACATGGCTTACCTATTCAGAAGACAGTCGTCCAATTATCAGAGAGACAGTCGCAAGGATAATTGATTGAATAGCTACGGTTAATTTTTTTTTAATTCTGATATGCTCCCAGTTACAATAGTAAATGGATTAACATGATGGAAATAGTATTAGAGAGTGAAATCAGACAGATGAAGCTAAAGAACAAAAGAGAGACAACTAGCAGAGATCCAGACAGTAATCCATGATCAATTTATTCCACTCTTGGTTCAGAATATCCTCAAATAAGCAGTTGCAATCAATTTATTAACTCATGGTTCTAAAAAGCAGATCAAATCAGTTCTGCACCCACTAAAATTGAAGACAGATCATGTAAAAAGAGTTAAGGCACTGCTTAAAATTTGGCGATTCCAACAGTTTCTTATAATGTTTTTAAAAGTTTTTTTTTCTTTAGACAGCACTATTCTCAGTGTAATAATAAGATATCTTCATGAATTTACTCTCCAACCAACTACTTCTTAAGGTAAAAGTAAATAGTGTTTTTATTTCCTATTTCCATTTTCATTCATTCATTTTCCTTCCCAAAAAATCATATCCAACACTCATTTCTTTCACAAAAAAACAAATCAATCAACTATTATCACCTTAAAATTTTTAAAAAACAAAAAAATACTCCCTCCATCACCTAAAAATGTTTGTGGTCAAACTTTTGGGCAGAATTTTAATGTGAGTGTGTACTTTTTGTTACTTTTTACTATTTATAGTAAAAAAAATTACACAAACTAGTATGCTTTTTACTAAAAAAATGAAACGAAAACATTTTTAAATAACAGAGAAAATGAGGAAAGTGAGCACAAATTTAGGTGACAGGGAATACTACGAGACAGAACACAAACCGCAGTTCAACCTATAATGAAAGAAATCACTATTTTTCCTAACAATGACAATGAAATGTTGTATGATTATAACTTTACTTCCAAATTTCAATAACTCTTTCCCATCCTATTTGTAATTTATGATTCTGATTTTAGTTATGAATCTAAGAAATGAGTTTCTAGAAACCATCCTTAAATCACACATTTAATGAGAATGCCTATGATTTAAATCGAAGAAAGAGAAAAGCAGCTAATATATTTGTAGCACAGTGGTGCATCATACCTTGCTGTCATCAACTCTAAACCAATTTCCCCGGAAATCTTTGATGTAACTGACATAGTGACCACTGTCGGCAGTATTCATTGAACCCAAGTGAACTACCACAGCATATAGCTGATATGTGGGCTGCTTGTCACCAATCCCACTCATATATGGAGAAAGGTTCAGAACCTCAGGGAACCGCACTAACTTATTAAGCTTTCCCAAATTGCCAGTCTGCAAACAGAACCAGCAAAGTAAGACTATATGTTTCACACATGCACAGTAAATCTGCCACTACATATGAGTGAATCACCTGAAATCTTTTCAGAACAATTGTAAGAATGTTTGGAGCCTCAAGGACAGACAATCTCTTTGTAGCTTTCTCATAAGACTTGCATCTGCAAAGATAATCAAAACACTTAAATAATCTAAGAACAGAAAACAGGTCAATCTGCTTCTACAATTTGCCATTATCATTGGCATTGATTGATAATGGTTTGCATCCTCAAGAAACATTTCACTTCCCATTTTTTACCAAGCTCCTACAGATATTAGGAAATTTTAGGAGAGAAACAATCAATCACAATGATGTTGATCAAACGAAACCAGTAAAGACACTAGAGAGTTTCATACAAGAATAATCTACGGTTACAAGAGCCCTCAAGAAAGAGTGAGCTATATTAAACATAAGAAATTACAGACCTGCTGCACTTGTACTTGTCATCTCCACCAAGTGTTTCAGAAGATGTGAACTGTGAAAGTGCCTCTTCAAGCGTATATATACTTCCATCAATCTCCACATTAAGATCCATCATTCTATCACATTGCTCGGACCTCCCAAAGCACTTCATGCACTTGATCTGCCATATCAATCCAACAGCAACAATCATGTGATATACTGTTAATGAACAAGATGAAATGGTAAACCTGAAATATAAAAATCTGAGGAAACATTAGGATCTTAGATAAATCAATTTGAAGACAGACTTTGGATCGAAGATAACCACCAAAAGTAAGACCCATGAGGGTTGAATCTTCAGCCACCGAACCAGATGCACCAGCCTTGTCAAGGCATATAGATTGCATTTTGTCGACCACATTCCTGATATCATTTAGACGTGACTTCTGTCAAATTATATTCATTACAATTTTTCAATTCAAAACCCAAATTCAGTCAGACCTCAGAAATTCATGTGCATCTTCTTCTCTTCCAATTGGCTGTATTTGAGATAATAATCCAACTGGAGATAAAGGTGAGCTTGTTTCTTGTCCTTTCTGCACAAGATGCTCAAACTTGCAGACAAAACACCAACCTCTCTTCCAACCTGAGCCATAGCAATTACAGCAAATGAAGAAATGACAAAAGATATCTAATGAACATATAGTCCAGCAATAAATTGTGAAGTGGTACTTGCATGTTTTTGAATGCAACCCTTTTAGCAGATAAGAAGCAATGGGCCGAGTAAAAATGAGACTCTGCAGCACAGCATTCGCATAGCAGCTGCAAGAAGAACAAATGTTTTACACAGAGAAGAAACAAAAGCTTCCACATGTTGAACAAGCATATAACAAGATATGCAAATCTTTCTTCTGCAGTGGAAACTAGTTTGGAGTGCATAAATGTGAAATTATACATCCATTTATGATCAGATCTTCTTTTCTATAAATTTCATGCAGCTGAAATATGTAGTATTATTTAAAAGTTAAGTCTTACAGAAACCTTATTTCCCTAGTCACTGGTAATAAATCAAACAACTTTAGACTGTCTAAATCGAAGATGCAATTTCCTGGATACAAGCATAATTGTCGTATACAATGAATCCTATCACACAAATTACCCAGGAATAACAAGTTAAATAAACAAACAATAATAAAAATAATAAATTTTTTCTTTTTTTTTGGAAAAGGGGGGGAGGGGGTGAATTAGTGAATAGTGGGAATTCGGGTAAATCCACAACAAAATGCAGCCAGTTTTAAGTTTGGTTAAACTCTTTGACGGACTCCTAATTGTATCTGTATTTTGTATTAATTAGAAGAATCTGTTCTCATATAACAAAATCATTAGAAGAAATCCAATGAATTTTCTGAGAGGGAAACACAGAAACCAAGCTAAAGACACTATTTAGAAAGATATCTATATTTTACTTTGTTAATAACAATAATTGAAAGATTTAAGTCAATGTAAGCAGGGTCTGGGTGCTTTCACATCTAGACTACAGTGCATTTTAAAAGTGCTCAGGAGTAGAAATTTAAATTTGCACTTTTTCTCGGGAGAAGAAAAAAAAAAGTGTTTTAAAGTGTCGTGTAACAGATTTTGCTAGTATTACCAAAGCATGGACAAAGGCACTAAAAATATACATAGTAGTTCAAAATAGATTATGAAAACTGAGAAAAGGAAACAAAGTAGTAAAAAGTTACTCCATGGTCTCAGGGTATAATAAAAGCAAAAGAAATTCAAATAAATAACCATCTTCCAATAAAGGCAAAAAGAGATTCAGATAAGTTCACATTCTACATAAAGCAACTGAAAATTAATTGTAAATGCAAACTTGTCCGCTCTAGCCTATATATACTAGGGAATAGCACCTTAACCCACAAAATATGCAAACAGATTCATAAAGGAAAATCTCATCAAATACTACTGTAAAGGACAACCAATTTTAGCACGATTTATGACATTTTGAACTTCTAAGGTACAGGTACCCTGTCTCATAAATTTTTCAATTTTTACTATAAATTAATTAAATAATGCAAGAACATCCACAAAAACCTGTGTCTAGCAAAACTAGTTTTTGATAGTTTGAGATTCATTTTCCTACAGGCGCATTCACATAACACAGAAAAAAAAAATAGCCATAGAACAATTTCAGTCATTAAAAGTACATGCGACTCACCTATTTCCACAATTGACAAGACCAAATGGATGAAGTTCCACGTCATCACAAGAATACAATTGCAAGAAAAGCTTGAGAGGAAATGTGACCTGTTAATAAGAATATTATTCGTGGTTAATATGAAATATAATCTATGGGAAATAAACAATTAAACACAGAAACTGAATTTAAAAGCAACCTTATGGTTATAATTTCCACCAGAATCCTTTAGAATTTCAATTGATTGGGTCTTCGACTGCTTTGGTGCTCTGAAATGTTGCATAAATTTTTTAACTGAAGTTTTCAGACCTTTTCCAGTAGATTGTGTCAACACTCGGCCAACTTCCATCTCTGAAAATAGCACAAGATTTATCAGTTCTTGTAAACAGATTTAGGTACTTGCAAATTGCATGAATCATTGTTACCACTTGTAGATTTAGAGTCCTGTTCAACTGATTCATGTGAAGCTGGTATCTTTAATGAATTTGAGCATTCATAATTTAGTCCTACAATTGTCTATTATTATGCATAAATCTCAGTAACTTACCAGTACCAGCTTCATCCGGAATTTTTGCATCCTCAGCTGAAGGTGTCCTTAGAGACATAGAAGGTCGTGAACTCCTTGAATCAATTGCACCAAGGCGAAACTCATCATAAACACCAGCCCCAAATCCTTCTCCTTTATCTTTAACATGGATTGAGTTGAATGCTTCACCACTGTTGCTAGAAAATGTGTCTTCACTCTTCCTACCAACATTTGACTGGTTTACAGAATAAACACGAGGGAATGGATGTGATACATCTGTATTGTGAGAATCAAATCTGGCATCTGTTCTTTGAGAATCAAGAGCAGAAGAGGATGTTTTATGTCGCCTGATAGGAGTTCCAGACTCACCAACAGAACCAATAGAAGTGTCCAAAGATGTCTCGCTTTGCTCTGTAGAAGAAAATAAGCAAGAGGAAGAGCTGCTTGAAGATGCAGAATCATCAAGATCTTGACTTGGAACAGAAATTTTTTTAGCTGCATCTTTCAAAGGTATTTCAAACTGATTTTCTGCAGCTGTTTCATATTCACTTCCGTTTCTAGCATGCAATCGCATTGCTGGCTTACAGTCATCCTTATGACCTTGCCTCCAATGCATAATTTGGCAGTTTCCAGAACTAGAAAACAATTACATAAATGTCAATACATGGGGAAAGAACAAACCAATTAGTCAAGCTATAACAAAAACTTATTTTGTAATCTTGACAATGAAAGATTAAAAAAGATTTTGCGAGTTTAAGATCCCATCAACAGAGCTGTAAAGGTAGAAAATAAGATCCCAATCCCTATACACATTATGCACTTTAAATTGGCAGGTTGTCGTGCATGAAATAAAATAGCGTATGCAACTCCAACCAGACAGATGCCATAAAAGTTACCAAATTAAGAAAACTTCACAGAAAAGCAAAAAAAGAAATTTTCAAATGCTGAAGGCCATACCAACTAGATTATGATACCAGATTCTACTTCACCAATTAATAGGTAACTGCTTGTTTACTTAGAGCTTCCCTTATAATGTACAGCTTCAACTACTTCTAATAGAGACTCCATAACTACTTGGATATCTTCCTATCAAACACAACAGGTAGCTTGTAAAATTTCTACTTTACTCTATCAACATCCAGTTATGTAAAATGCGAAACCTCCTCAAATATCGCATGAAAAAACAAAGTAATACTATTAAGAACTCACTGTTGCTCCTCAACTTCCCATTCTGACTGACCTGCATTCCCCACCACCCGCGATTAAATAATTTTTTTTATATATATAGAAAAAAGGAGCCCATCTCATGTTATAAGAGGTTCTTCAGCATTTGATTGCAACAACAATATGTCTGCCAACACAAAACCTTAATATTTCTTGTCTTAAAGTGTCAGCTACGGAATATGATTCGAATGACATAACATAAAATCTACCCAAGTTCAACAATAATACTTCTTCCTCTCCTGCAGTATTTTAATTCAAATAAACCTGTCCATTCTCAATCACACAGTGTCCATGCCCCAGTATCAGTATCACATGATTCTTCCTAAAACATGCGCATTGCCACAGCTATTTTAACAAAAGTTCATCAGAAAATATGACTCATAAACAAAATGACAAATGAGCAGCATCCTAAACTTCAATCCAGACAAAGAGGCACTCAAAACGTAATTCAAGAAAAAATTTCATACAATAGGCAGGAATTAGAACCACCAACAATTCAAATTATCCCAATTAGAGAATTCAAAACAGTATACCACGCACCAGTATCTGACAGCTTTACATCGTGAACACCGAGTAGAGGTGGGCCGATAACAAACAGCACAATTATACTGTTTCTCGAGCTGAGGCATCATCTGCGCAGGTGAGTTATACTCTTCAACAGCTTGAACCTTACCAACTCCCTCCTCCTCTTGTCCCGAGCCCACACCTACAAGTCTCAGAACCTCCTCCTTCTTCGAATCCAGATTCATCCATTTGCACCGGATCACAAGGCCGAAAATCAGCAAAATCCCCACAATCACAAGCATCGATTCTACCTAGCTCCAATCAAAGTAACCGGCGGCGAGGATTAACAAAGAGCTGAACACAAACCCTAGGAACCTAATTCTCCTGCAATACATAGAGAGTTACTGCAGAAAAGTTCAAAGCAGCGGCAGAGGTAGTTGTTATGGGAGAAGGGCCGGAAGCGCCGGTGGGTGAGGCGGCGGAGGGCGGGCGTAGAGGAGGTGTAAAGTAATGGCAGAAAGGAAGGTGGGGAGGGGGGTGGGTATGGAATTTTGGGCGAGCAGCAGGATAGGATATGTGAACACAAATATGCCTAAATTGGAATAAAGTAACGTAGAGAATGAGATTAGAACTTGGCCTTCTGCCTCCAGTGTAGCGTTGGTTGGGTTGGAATTTCTACCCGCACCCCATTGCAGATTCCTTGTTCTTGATTTTCACTTAGACATTTTCAACTTCTGGTGATTTGGTGTACTAATTTTACTCCTGTAAAGCAATCTAATCTGTCATTTCTTATCAAAGTAATTAAGGTTTATAGGGTTTATTTCATTAACAAAAATTCAAATTTTTTTAATCTCGACTATGACTTCTTAAATAATATTTTTTTTTTACAAAATATTTAATTATATTATTTTAATATTAAATTCAAATCAAAATTTTAAAATTTACGTCAAAATCCCGATTTATGCACAAATTTATTCATTTATTTATTTATTTGAAATTTGTATATATTTTTTTGATATTAATAGTTTATTAATTTATTACTTCTCTCTGTCTAACATAAGATTTTTTGTATTTTCATTTCTCTTTGTCAATTTTCTTTTAATATTTATATATTTTAATTATATTTAAATTTTATAATTTATAATTTTTTTTAGAGTGCAGTTGTTTGTAGGATTTTAATAAATTTTTATTATTTATAAAAAAAATTCTTTCAAACACATCAAATCGAACACTATTTTTTTATTTGTTATTATACAAAAAATTAATTTTACATATGAAATATTACATCAATATATATTTATATAATATCATACTATTATTCATACCCAAACCTTCAAACAAACTCACTCTTAATCTTAATTCAATTAATTAATTATCCTAATTTAATTATTTACTAATTATAATTTTTCTAACATTTTGTATCTACAATATACCGGACATATGGGGTTGAACGGATCAGTATTATTTGAGGTTTATTAATACTGTCTCCGTCCTCAACAATTGTCTTATTTTTTTTATTTTAATTCGTTTCAAAATAATTGTAATTTTTTTATTTAAAATACTCCTAATTATTATTTTAATTTATTTTTTAAAATCCTTCAAAACTAGAAGTGTTTTAGTCTTTTACATTCTACTACTTTATATTTCATATTTCAATTAAATACTATTATTATAACAACAGATGGAGTATTTTGTTGTGTCTAGCAATAAATTATATTTAATTTATTATTCAAATTAAAATACAAATCAAAACAAAAAAATAAAAAATAAAAAATAAAAAAATAAATTTACATATTGATGGATTATAAAGGTGATGGTGACATGGAAGGAGAACTTTGGAACACGCAAAAATGGATTATGCATTGCACATAATCTTATTTATTTGAGATTTAATTTTATCATAACCATAATATTAGTCATATAGAATGAAATATGCTTGAAAATTACCAACCTTTTATTTTGTTAATTAAATTTGTCTGTGGAAGAACAGAAGTTTATTATAAGGTTTTATAACCTGAATATTTAATATATTTATATATATATATAGATTTTATAGACGGCTATAGTGCCGAGTTTAAAATTCAGAGTGCGATAGTATTTATTGGCAGCACATTATTTATATTAATATAATATAAATACAATAAATGAATTAATTTCACATGATATAATCTACAGCACATGCACTAATTTATTTTAGTATATAACATATTTTTATTGCAGAGTCCACACGACTTGGTGCAAGGGAAGCTTAGTTCAAGTCATTTTAGTGTGATGATGTGATAATTATTATTGTGCATGATATTGTATAAACCAAATTATGTCAAAATGGTTCAGTTGACACATTGACGTCACATCATCAATCAAACAGTTTTATTTTATTTTTATCACCATTGCACATGCTTTGATAGATATAATTCAGCCAAAAATAAAAAGAGAATGTAAAGGGTTTAATAACGAGTGAAGTGATTAAACACAAATAATCAAATTTAGATAAAGTTCAAAAGATCTCAATACTCTAACGAAAAAGAAATGTGTTGAGAAGATAGTGTGAAAATCTCTTCACTCCATCCATCTATTTATACACCCGATCATTAAAGTTTCATCCATTCATTTACTTCCAACATATACTTTCTGTCCAACTCTAAGGGTCTATTCATTTACTTTTTGTTCGTTGATTTTGATATTAATTATTATATTAAAATATAGTACAACTTAAGAAAAAAATGAAAACATACTAATATAAAGACATTTATACAACAAAAATTATAAAAATACTTCCTCTGTCCCATAACAAATATCAATTTTTCCATTTTAGTCCGTCCTATAACAAAGTATCCATATCTACCTAACATTTATATCATTACATTTATATCAAGCATACTAATAAGGTTATTTTAGTCATTTTTATATAATACTAATATTTCTAAAATTACGTGCAAAAAACAAATGAATACTTACTTCTATGAAGGAGAGAGTATTAAATTTCAACCACCCAAATTATAAAAAAATTATAATAATATTAAATTCCAACTTTGCAAATGATAAATGTGACCCTTAGAGGCCGGGGGAATATTAAATTTCAACCACCCATTTCCTAGTTATATTTCTAAGGTCACATTTAATTTTTGCGTGTTGATTTTTTAATATTAATTATTATTACAAATTAATGGAAAATGACAAAATACTTCTATTAGTGTCTTATAATGACATTTGTGTAAAAAATTATACAAATATAAAGACATTTTAATGTTAAGTACAATGACGTAAAATGTAAATGAGACCCTTAAAGCGGGACTGAGGAATACATATTATACGGTATCCACCTTCTACATATGTATTAACCAAATCAAATCAACACCACTTATTACACTCAATCAACATAATAATCACAGCGCTAATTTTCTTTTAAAAAGGCTAAAGGAATGCCTAAAATACATCCAAAATGACTATTAAGAACCACAACATATCATTACTTTATTGAATAGAAATACAATATGGACAATCAACTATATAATAATCCAAATTGTAACAAGTCTCAACCACTACTTGTCTTGTATGTTTTCTTGCTCATTAATCCATTTTAATTTTGCTTCAATTCAAAGAAATTTTTTTTTAATAATATCTCTTAAGTATTCACTTCAATTGTTACCTGTGCCTTTTCACAATTTGTTAAAATTTTCTGAAGTTTGGAGTTCAAAATTTCAAAAATTGACCTACCACTATCACTGTTATTTATCTTTTTCCTACTTACAATATTACTGTGTACTAAAACTTTATCAAAGAAGTTACAAACAATCATCATAAAAATGAAAAACAAAACTGAAAAGAGAAGTGCATAAATGGTTAGCAATGCAAACATTACCTGAAAACAGATCATCACTGTCACTCGTGTAAAAGACTACTTTACTTCAGTGTTCCCTATAACAAACAGCACACCTTCATCAATTCAACACCAAGACAGCCAAGAGAGCTTGGCTGATAATTTCCTGCCCAAACCTGGTGAAATTCTTGTTTTTCTCCTCTGTTCTTGCCTCTCTTCTGCCAACATTTCATACTAGATCAAGGATTCCACCAAAATTCGTATTCAAAATTTTGTCTGGTTTCTAATAATAATAGTTACTTCCCTTGTAGTTTGCAGTATCCTTGCAGAGCATGGATCGAACTTCCAGGATGCTCTGTGGCGGCTCGATGTGCTTCTCCTGCAGCGCATTGCCCAGTAACTGCTGCATTTGGGACACAAACATGTCGTCCAACACCTGAAAATTGTGTACGTGGACAGGCAAGAAACAATTAGCAAACTGCCACAAGACTTTTTAGTTTCATGGATGTTTAAGAAGTTGTCTGGCTTACAGTAACTGCGATTCGTGAGGCTTTATACCACGACTCATTTTCTTTCCTTCCTTCAAGAAACTTCAACATGTCCTGCATTGAAATGCCTTTTTAGAATAAGTATAAACTTACAATGATAGGATTCAGCAGGAATTCTTACCTGGCCCATTCGATCCCAGAAACCACGACAAATGGTTATGAAAACTTGAGTTTCAAGCACGGACTGCAGTTGATTGATTGTGTTAGTCAGCAACTCCTTAAGGGGCTGCATCCTGTGGCGCAAATCCGAATTCATGACATTTCCCTTTGTGTTTTGGATTATTTTCTTTAACTTTGTGCCGTTATACAGCTTTGTCTGTAAGAGAAAAGATATAAGTATCATCAGAATTTTGGAGTGTTACGAGAAATTTGAGATAGCAATAAAAATGACACTTGCATTTTCAACAAGTCTATCTATAACTGCTTGGACATAAGCTCGGAATTTAGATCTTATCATCACAGCTATTTCACTTAGCCTCTCTCCCGGGAGCATGTCCCCATTTCCAGGTATGCATGAGCCCCAAGACTTTAATTTTCCTTCTATTTGAGGCCGTAGAACGTCAAGCATCCTTCTCATGGTATTCAAGACAACTCCCAACTGAATCAAAAGCAAAAACAAAAAAAAGTCACATATTGCATTGCTCCCTAGAGAAAATAGGATAGATAAATAACAGATAACCTCTTAAAAAGCATTGACTCAAAATGATATAAATATTTGGTTATTTGTTTTTAAAACATATATTATTAGCATTTCATATTCTCAAGAAGATGCTGGTTTCAACTTATCTAATAGAGGAAATTAGCAAAATGTAGCTTGCAAAAGAAAATTCGAATATATATTTTTATCATTTCATATTTTCATGACAAGAATAGCTTTCAAACTATCCAATTGAGAAAATTAGCAAAATGTAGCTTGCAAAAGAATTTCATTGTACCTCAACAGAGACCGTGTATGGATGCATATTTCCCTTTGCAAATTTCTGGACACAATTGATTCCAAATTTTTGAGGAATTTTGTTTACCCTCAGGGGGACCAAAACTTCGGCATATTCCTTCTCCAATCTTCCCATTATAGCTTTCTCAACATCTGCAATGGCCTTTATAAAAAAGAAAAAGAAAAAGAAAAAAAAGGTAACTTCTAAAAGTAAGACCTAAGGGAATTTTCATTATTTGATTAAGTAGATATGTTATGAAGAGTAAGAAAAAGCATACATATTCCAATGCAAAAATGTATTCAGGCCAGCGACTGATGATGACCTCATACTCAGCCAGCATCTCCTTCAGCCGACTGTATACATCATTAATGAAAGACATCGTCAAATGTTGTGCCGGTAGATTCGACGATTTTCCCTGCATGATTTACCTCAGTAATTCAGAATCAAAACTGCACAAAATTTCAGGTGTAAAAGATAAGCATCTCTTACCCTGTCTACTTTACACAGCTCAAGTAAAGCAAGACGCTTGTCTTGGATCCATACGGCAATATACAAGTGGAACAACTCTTTTGCATCGACTCCACCTTTGATATTACTGCAAGAAACTCACTGTATGTAACCAAAATTTTGGGTGCTGGAAATATGGAACTATTTTAAATTCAGTAATACTTACCTAATCTTCCATAGAGAGAGATCCCTTTGAAAATCAGCAGTGGCGACAACAAGTTCCACAACTGGAAGTGTTGGTCCAGCAGGAGGGCAGGAAACAAGGAATGCCCGCAATCTAGTGTTGAGCTCTGTGCTATATATGGAAGATGAAAGGTTTGGGAGGTCTATGAAACTGCACAAATAAATGATGATGAATTATCAAATATAGGCACAATCGTAGCATTTTCACACTTGGGAAAGCACCATAGTAATTTCAATTAGGTCTCACAACAATTTTCACATTTATTCCAAAATTTATGCTGAAGATTCATTTGAATTTATTCTGCATTACTTTAGAGCAACAACTTGCTCTAACCACCACAGCAATGGTAGACAAAGATACACATGCAATGCATATAACGACGCCAAATCCTAAATAGGTATGTTAAAGTACTAGATTGCATGCTTCAAAGTCTTATTTTCAAGATTCAATATAAAGTACTACATTCTAATAGGTGTTAAATAATTTAAAAAAGGTTGTGAACTTGTGATCATGGAATAAAATTAAAATGAGGGCTTTAGGGAGCATTGGGGAGCCCTACATGCTCTTTACCCGACAGATTAGCATTACGAAGGGACATTGTGCAATAACAGAACCTAACCATATACACTATAAAAAATAATCACATGGGAATCATTTAACTTACTGCACTTGGACAAACGTTAATCATTATTAAGGAAACAAATTACCTGGGAAGAAGATTCTGCTTCTGGATTTCAATATCACAAAGAATCTCATTACGCATGTTAGAACAAAGTGACTTCATTTTCTTATATGCCATGGAAATAGCTGCTGGATCTGATAATAAGTTTTCATTACTGCCTGATACATACTCATCAGTTTCGGACAGGTGCCGTTTACACCTTTTCCTGATAGCATTCTGCATGGATGAGATCATATTACTTCAGCAAAAAAACAATTTTTTGAAGAAATATATTGAGGTAGAGAGCTTTTCCAACCTGAAAATATCGACATAATCTTGACTGCACCTCTGGAGAAAGAATGTCGTGTAGTAGTTCATAAAGTTTAAAAGCAGGAACAAGAGCTGGAGCCGGCTCTCCTGTGGCTGGTCCAAATTCATCCAGCATTCCTGAGGGTGATGACTCATCCAGTGACTTGTAGTTTTCAAAAACCAAAGTAACCATCTGTTCAACTTCATCAGACACTTCTCCCAGAAGACGGGCCTGACCAGTAACAAGAATATTATCAATACTGCAAATGGATTAGAATAATAATAATAATAACAAATAAATAAATAAAAAAATTGGCTCCCAACATTTGCTTTTGGAACTGAATCTTACACTATAGAACCTAGAGGCAAAGTTGAACTGATAATTGCACTTTTATTATGGTCAAATGGATTTTTCTCATAATTTCTTGAGCCAGATAGACTTTACAAAGATGTTGCATAACAGAATCATATGATGGCACAATATTGTCCCACAACTTAAATGATTTTGAAAATTATGAAACTTAAATTAAAGAACAAAAAAATAGAGCATTTTTTAAACCAACTTTAAATGAGGAGGGATTAATACAAACTAGAATGGCTAAAGGATGAATAATTTCATTCTTTAGAGTTTCACCTACCTCTTGGTGGCTCAACGAGTGTGTACTTTTGCTTTTTATTGTCACAGGTTGTAACAAATCATGCACTAAATCCAGGCAGTCTGCTGTCGGTGTGGCAACATCCATAACATATAATACATACCTGAACAGATACAAAATTAGTCACCGGTAAAATACAAATTTGGGAACTCATTCTATTATTAAATTACCTGAGTTTGGTGTATGCATCCGAAACTCCAAAATACGATGCAAATTCAGTCACCAACCATTTCCATGAACCTTGTAGCAAAAAGTTCCTTTGTTGAAACTGCTGGACTTTCATCGCAGCCTCCAAGACACAATCATATGCTATGGTCTCCGCAACAATTCCACACTTTGGCATGTATAAAGAAGTGAGTGAGTTTAGACAAGCCAAAGAATATTATGGGTAGAAATAGCACCTTTACCGATAATTTAACAAAAATACAAAAACAGAAAAGGAGTAAGACCACCTCTCAATTGCGAGTCAATGAGTATTCATGTATACTATGAAGGCTTATATACCTTGTGTTTATTTTCGTCCATTGTTGAATAGTTAACATATAATTGTAGTTTCCCAACTTGTTCGTGCTCTGGTTCCCTATATATAAAACACTGGCGGAGCTTCTCACCCTGCAGTTAGAACCATCAACAAAACTCAATCACATTGCATCAACTAGCACATCTACAACTAGGAATGCGACTTTGGTTCCAGACAGGGTACCGATTCTTCAGCAATATCGGCCACTTGAACAACTGCATGCCCACAGTAATTTCCCTTCGAATCATGGACTTCAATTATTAAGTCATCTCCTAGTCCGTCTGGAAAGCTTCACATAAGATATAGAAAAGTTTACTGGTCCAAGTCTCAAGATTAATAAAGAAGCTATAGTTGTAGATCAAATTCGTACAACACATACAATATGCGAGTTTCTTGAGATCCTGGCTGCATTCTTGCTGCATCCTCTTTGGCTGAACTCTTTAATCTCAGTGAACACGAATACGATTCTGTAGAACTCATATGAGTTAAGAAATAGTAGTCACCCTAATTACAGCTAATGTTGCTCTGTTAAGAGGAAATAAATATGTACATAAATGTCAATGATACATCTCCTATCAATTGAAACTTTTAGATGAAGTGGTTGGTTGGTGTACAAAGCAGGAAGTCTTGTTTTCATGTTCTTTCCATCACTCATTTATTGAAGAAGTATCATGCTATACATGCAAGGGCTATTTAGAGGGATAACATGGGAGCCACCATAAAGGACATCAAATTGAGAGGTAATCCAAGCACTATAAACAATCTGAACTCTATCTTATCTAACACTGATTAGGGAGCATGTTAGAGGGACTAAAAGTTATAGAGGAGGGTTATATAGAACATTCCATGAAATGTGCTTTTTGAAGCACTAGTAGCTAGCAAACATGTGATAAAAATGCTAAAACCACAACCTAGCCCTATACCTGGTACTAGTTCGTAGGATGAGGAACTACTGCAAGCATTGAAGCCAATTTTAATAATATCAGGCACCTCCTTTAAAAATCTTCGAGTTCCAACAATTGCATACGCCATGGTCCGATGTAATAATGATCCATTGGCAGGGATAATAGGGGTAACATGCTCACTTCTTCTTGCCCTCCTCTCACATGATACAGATGTTTTTACATTTGATAGTCGAAGCTGAATAGATTCCAACTTCACCATGGGAGATGACTTTAGTGATGCACATGAGCAACCAGCTGGCGGGTCTACCGCCATTTTCACTTTACGCACTGCAAAACATTTGCAAATGAGCGAAATGCCATGCACAGGCGTATCTGAAATATATTAGTCTACAAGAGGAGCATCTGTGAACCTTGAGTTTTAACTTTGCCAATTGTTTTCTTTGTCTTGGCTTTTACGAATATTTCTTCACCAACAAGATCGGATGACTTTTTTATCATCAGTTCTTCCTCTGGCCGTAACAATATATGTTTCAGCCTGCAGTTTTAAAAAGAAATGGTTATCACAAGTAAGAATCACACACATGCATGCTTCCCTTAGCAAACACATACACATGATTTAAATATTTTTAAGTGCTCTTAGGTGTGAAATTATGGTCTCTTTATATTTTCTTATATGATTTTCATGCCATTAGTTTATAAATTCTCGCAAATTGTTTACTACAAATAGCATGTAGTCTCATATAGTAAGTTCTTACCATTAATGGTTATACTTGAACTAGATTCTATTTTATTTTACACAACTAACCATACTATTTTGTAAATATCTTACCCAAAAGCATCCCTCAAAATAGCACACTCATTTTCTAAGAAGTAAGGGGCTTCCATGCTGCCCTTTGCCCAGGCATTGAGACACAGCCGGACACATGCATCATAGGAGACAACAGCATACCAAGAACCGAGCCCGCTGTGTGGCATTTGAACAATGATTAATAGACGAACCAATCAATTTATTAAGCAATGTAAACGTATATAGATATGTTCAGAGTTAAGCCGGCAAGATGGGAGCCATCTAGTTTACCTTGCATGATATGTAGGAAATCGAACAGGCAATCTCTGAGAAGATACAGAATCGGCCGTAGCATTCCTGTCAAGTTTCTTTTATTAACTTCACAGCTTAAAATCATTGGAAAGGCTTGTGAATGTTCTCTCCTCTGTTTACCTGAAAGATAGTTTGGGAGCTTCTGCTTCTTCAGAGCCTGCCATTGTGCTCTTACACACTTGGGGTGGTTCAGCCTCAGCTGTAGAACTCCTTGAAGTCTCAGAACTCACAGCTGTACCATCGGGTACTCTAGAAGTTGAAACTTGATTCGAATCAGTGAAAGTGCCAGCAGCTAGTGGAGGAGCAGTGGGGATATCGTCATCATAGAACTTATTCATCAGTGGTGCATTGCAGAAGTCCTCCAACTGCTCAGAAAACAATAAAGCTCATCAAATATATAACAATTACTAAATCAAATAAGCTAGTCTTGTATGGGCTTAGTATTTCAAGCTAATAAGAACATGCCTGCCTCTCATATTCCTGCACATTGGAGCTAGAAGAGTTCGGCGCCAGATGAATTTTTGGCTCGAGAATGGTAGCAGCACAAGTAACTCTCTTGGATGCCTTAGAAGTCACTTTTGGGCTTGATTCATCGTCCACTACAGCACCACATCTTCCTCCTTGTCTTTCTATGCAGTTTCCCACACCACCAACAGTTTTGTTGTGTTGTGAAATGCCGCCATCAATTTTGTCATCTTGGGGTGAGGATTCAAGGGAGTACCGAGCCCCAAAGTGCTGGTCCTCCTCCGAAGAATCAAATGTATCCATGTCAGAATCTGATTGATTAACCATCACTGGATTGACATTCACTCCAGAAGGCAGATAACCACTCCTAAATCTGGACACTGAAGGCAATACAGGGCTCGTCCCACGGCATCTCGACACATATACAGAGTCAAACTGAAGTTTCTGATTTGACATCATAATAATCCTACTCTGCAACCAAATCCAAATTCAATGTTTCAAAGTTCTGCACATGAGTTCCCTTCCACATCCACCAAGTTTCTTCTTAGTGCATCATTCGAATTTCATACGGACATTAAAGAACAAACGTACGTCACAGATAGCTACAATTAAAACCTAAAACACACACACACGCACACACAGAGTTAACCCAGGCGTTTTTTCACAACAAAAATAATGCAATTAACTCCATCTACCGCGCGTGCCGGCAAAGGAATGAGTAATCAATGAAGCATCAAACCACACAATGAGAACCCATCCATAACCCACCGAATTGGAGAGGATGAATGGACGACAGAGAACTTGAACGAGCTCCGGAGCGTATGAAAACGGAGTTACTTCTGCACTCAGCACCCAAAACAGCGTATTAAACGTCTCTTCTCGAGAAAGAAAATCTTCAAATAAATTCATCAGCACAAAAAGGAATTACCAAAAAGAGAAATTCACAAAACAGAAAGCTGCGTGTGAATGCAGGTGGCCGAATATCTGCGCCAATCCATATAACACAAATGTCTTCCTTTTGAATTCTGTACAAGGGAAGAGACGATTTCACAGTTGCTTTAGATTAATCGATGATCGAAAAGGGAGAATTTGAAAGCAAAAGTAATGAAGGGAAAGTGGAAAAGAAGAAAGAGAGAGAGAAGTAGTAGTGGGAGGGAACGTGGAGAGATGGCCACGAAGCGCAGTTTGAAGTTTGAATACATATCTTCCAACGGTAAGTGACTCAGTCGTACGGATTAAGTGCCCACTTCACTTCTATAACCTTTTTTAACAATAAATAAATCTCATTATAATTACAATTATATCTTACATATATAGCAAAATACGTGTGTAGAATCTGCATGCCTTGCACGTGCCATTTACGCGTGTGTTTTGTCTTATGTGTTTGTTGGGAAGAATAAAAATTTAAATTAAATATTTATTTGTTCAATTTAATATTAAAAATATTTTTATATTTGTATAATTTATTTGATATCATTGTATATATATTATAAAAGACTAATAAATATATTTTATTTTTTTCTCTTGATTTGTACGGAGGAAATATAATATTTTAAACAGCCAATTATATACTATAAAATAAAAATAAAGTTTAATTTATTATTATTATTAAAAAATTTTAGCTTCTACTTGAAAAAATATATATATATATATATTTGTATTGACTTATGTAGCTTTTAAGATCGAAAAATATATTTTAGAAACACATTAAGAGTAGTTTCTAGAAACACTCTTCAATTGCAATTATTGTTTTTATTCTTAATAATAATAATAAATACAATATTATAATATAATATAAAAATAATTAATTTATAGTATAATTTCTAATATATATTATACTTGAATTTGAATTAAAATTAAAATTATAATTGAGATACTAAATTTAAATAAGAGTATCTAAAATTTTTAATTATACTAAAATCCTAAAATATATTGTAAAATTTAAATAATTTAATATTATATTGTAATTTTATTTTTAATTTATATATTATTTTTAAATTAAAATTTTAAAATATAAATAATCAAAATTTAAAAATTTCAAGGATATTTTGACCGTATTGCATAAATGAAATCAATACGATTTTTGTTGGCTCTATCAGAGGGTAAACTAGGCCCGACATGCAAGTCACACTAACTGAACCATGTATAGCAGGTGATTTGAAGCGTCAGAGGTTTGAACACATGACTTCACGGTTACAAGTCCAACCCCAACACCATCAAACCATCCATTACCGAACATGAAGTTTGCATTCTTGAATAGAAGCTTGGCGGATGAAGTCCATGTAAAACAACCACACGTGAGTTTGCCATAGATAAGTAGAGGCACAAGGTACACAAATTACAAAAAGTAGTTAAGCATGCCGCCAGCGTTCATCCTGAGCCAGGTTATATGGGGTTGTGTTTTTTTGTGGGTTTTATCACAGATGTTTTATTATTTAATTTTTTTTTCCTCCAAAAAAAATCAAATCAAACAATTAATTTTATTTTTTTGTATTATACTACAAATTTATTTTACATTCAAAACATCACATCAATAACTATATATATGACATCATACAATTGTTCAAATTTAACTTTTTATTATTCACAAATCCAAGCCCACAAACAAAGACACCCTCTATGCCTGGAATGCCAAGTTCAATGACTGATGACAGTCCCCAGGACTTGGGCTTTCGCCAATGGACGAGAATACTTTATACACTTGAAGGGGTCATGGCGAAGTACTTGTCATCGGTATCTATGTTGACGACTTGATCATCACTTAAACAAGTCAAGCTTGAATCGACAAGTTCAAAGGTGAGATGATGTTTCTATTTCGCATGTTTGACCTTGATCTTCTCACATATTATCTTGTTATCGAGGTTAACAAAAATGCAGAAAGTATCAATCTCTGTTGAAGTGCTTATGCCGAAAAGCTTATTAAATAGAGTTGGATGACAGACTGCAATCACTACTTTACACCAATGGAAGAAAAACTTAAGTTATCAAAGGCTTCAATTGCTCAACCGGTAGATAGTCTATGCTACCTAACTCAAATCCAGCCGGATATTACCTTCAATGTCAGATATGTAAGTCGTTTTATGGAGGATTCATTGGATGATCACATCACTATAGTCAAGCGAATCATACGATACATTGCTGGAACACGATCTTTCATGGAAGGAATGTTGACACTATCAGGATTCACCGTAGTGACATAGCTGGTGACCTCGACAATTGAAGAGCACCACAAGTCTCTATTCTTCTTCGACAATAATATGATCTCTTGGCAGTCCCGAAAGCAACGGGTTGTAGCTCTCTCTTCATGCGAAGTTGAATACATTGCTACTGCAACAACAAAATGCTACGACGTATGGCTTCATCGACTACTGCAAGAACTGTTGGAATACAAGGTTTAGAGACTGAACTTAAGGGTGGACAACAAATCAGCTATAACACTAAGCAAAAACCCTGTGTGTGTTTGTAATATATAGGAAAATATGTATGTAATATAAAAATAATAAGTATTTGGAGTATATTAATTTTTTTGAAAAAATGTGTTGAAATTTTTTTGCCAAAGAAACAAACTCCCTCTTCTTCATAACTGAAGCAAACGTATTGATACACAATTTTACTCCATCCGTGATTGTGTCGATAAAGAATAAATCATCATCAAATACACCAAGACCAAGTAGCAACTCACAGATATATTAACAAAGTCACTTGGTCATATCCAACTCTTAGAGCTTCACAATAAAATTGGTGTGATTGGGGTTAAGTGAAAACAATGGATCAAGGCGAGTTTTACAAAAGTGTCATCATTCATGCCTAATATCAAGCCATGTATATTTTTAAGCTTGATTTTGTACTTTAATTTAGGAGTAATTTTAGGCTTAATTTTGTACTTTAGTCTAGGGGTAGTTTTTGTTTATTTTTCTTTGTGTATAAATAAAGACCACCGTAAGTTTCATTTGTAATCATCCCATTTCATAACCATCAATAGAAGTTTTGAATTTCTCATTCACCATTGTCTCTATTTTGTGCTTTCCTTTGGCCTTCAAATTCGTGATAACCTAACCATCTTCCTCCGTTCTAGCGCTACCGGAAACTCTCTCCCTTCAATCTTGTTTGTGTAGCGGTGAAGTCGACGATATGGACCGCAACATTGAAGGTGGCGGTTCAAGGGATTTCCTAGCGACAAGCCGTAGGTAGGACATGGGTATTTTTATTTTAAGCTAACACAATCATTATCTATCACATCAATATTTATAATACCTACGAAACTAAAATCGAACTTACAATTTTTTTTTAAAAAAGTACAACTTCTCAAATCTATTTTAAAATTCAAATCTAATCACAACATAAACAATTCTTTCAGAACTTTTTCTAAAAAAACACCCTTAAATTTTTTTAGTTGTTAATATTTTTTCTTAAAATATCAACGTTTAGTTTCCCAAATTTTCTGAAAATTAGAAACCGAAGACCTATGGCTACTATGATAATGCATTATAAAATGAAAGAGTATCTCAAGTCATCCCGTAAAGAATAGTCTGGTGTAAACTTGTGACCATGAGATCATGGTTCAAATCCTCAATGCCTTTAGGTTTTTATCCGAACCAACAAGTTTATCATTTATTTAACCATATCTAATTTTCAATCAATAAAATTTGGTTTATAATTAAAGAAATAAAAAATAAAATAATATAAGATCAATAATAAAACTCAACAATACACGGCTAATAAACTCTCAACACTGCTTTAATTTCTAACTCTAATACATACAGAATAACAATAAAATGTCCATGTACTTTTCGAGCCATTGGATTGAAATGAGAAACTGATAATCGACGGCCCCGATTACAAACAACAAAAACAGCGCATTCAGAAGCATATGTATTCAAGTAACAATAATACTCTATCATTTAAACACACCAAAAACACCTTTTTACACAATAGCTGTTTTCTTTAGAACTAATTTGACCTCACCACTATGCATCACCTTAACCAAATATCTCCTGCTTAACCTGTTCAATTTTAGCTACCAACTCTCCCCTACTTTCCTGCAAATACGACGAGGAACGAATCGGTGATCGCCAGTCGAAGAGGAGGGTAATGTAATTTCCTATATGTCAGGAGGGAATTTTATAATATAAGATACTGACCTCAAAAATTAGGTAGCGAATGGCGAACCAGATAGAGTATCCGAGGCCGACAAGTTCCAACAATTTTGGTAACTAAATGCAATCGAAAACTTGCAGTTAATTAATGATTATTTTAACAAGTAGAGAAGAATGGTGTATTGATGAAAATGTTCTCACCAGTGGAATAGAATCGATGGCGCCCACCACAATAGATGCTACCCAGACTGCAACTAAGCCTCCGCCGCCAATTGTGAGAAGTGAGTACTTATTCTTTTCATAATCAAACTGCAATGAAGAGATAAACATTAGGCATTAATGACATTGGAAACTGACAAATAGCTATATGTTTAAGTATCGATTTTAAATGATCTTTTTATTGTTTTAGTTGAAAACTGGAGAATATATGTGATCCTCTAAACTGTAAAACAATGAACTAAATAGGATAATGTTCTTCATTGTAAGCATGCATGAAGAACATTTGAATCAGACAAAATTACTCGTAACCCACATGTGGTTTGAAAATTTGTATCATTCTCCCCATGATTTAGAAACGACATGAAACCTCCTTGTGTTTTAAAAAAACTTTGCACATAAACCCTTTTTCTATGAGTTTCTGTGCAATATTGTGAAAATACGAATAAGTCTCGTGCAATTTTTAAATCACGTGGGAGAATGAGAGATATTTTCCAAACCACAAGTGAGTTATAAACAATTTTGTCATTGAATTATATCGATAACCTAAATCAGAATATCACAAGAAAATTACGAATATTTACAAATGCAGAAGAAAACATTTGAATTATACAACAAAGACAATGAGAAAATGGCATAGTTAATAAAACCATCCTTGCAGTATAGATATGAATGAAGATAGATTATGCACTAAGCCAGTATAAATCAGCAACAGAAAACATTTCTACTCTCTTCAATAATTGATCCAACACTAACTCAAGGTAATATTATACTTGAATTTGGCTATACAATTTGGATATGTATGGTGTGCATAGCAACAAATGAGCCAAGTACCGGAACAAAAAACTGAAAGATCAGCTAAATACACAAGCATTTTCAACAAGAAAGGAGCAAACGCGAATAAGGCCATCCTTCTGGTACTAAAAGATATTCAACCATTTATAAAGTGCCAAAAATATATCTAATCTCAGAAAAACATTCAACAGAAAGTTTGTACTTGTCAAATGCCATTTCATCTAAGCCATAGCTTCTGCTACAACTAGTGAAGTGGCCGTCAGTTATTTTCCAGCAAATTTTCAACTCTTGCTGCCTGTCATTTAAGCTCTTTACGAGTCAATCAACAAAAGTATGACAAATCAGTTTTGATTATCACCATAACTTCATCAAATAAACCTATCAATTTTATGTATTACATTCACCACTAGTTTAAAATGCGCCAAAACGAAGTTGATAACTAAGACCTAACAACAGAGGAAATCTGAAATTTCGATAAGTAGTATACTAGGCACATAGCACAAAGGATTAAGAGAAACCACCTCTATACCAAGATCCTCCAAGAACTTGGACAATTGCAGGTCGGGCAAAGATTCGTCTTTCTTCTCGTCCACGCTAGCATTTTCCAAAGACACCACACTATCAGTCTGCGGCTTATCTGCTTCATTTACTTCGGCACCTGAATCTTCTTTCTTTTCTTCTGGTGGAGCATAATCTGCTGTTGCAATCCCTCCATCACTATCTACCTTATCTGTTTCAGATAGCTGAGTATTCGAATCTTCTTTCTTCTCATCTACATCCGCCGGTGTTGCCAATCCATCAGTTTCAAGTTTATCTGTAGTCGTCGTAACAGTTTCTCCAGATGTTGTGGAGCTCAGAGGTGAATTAACGCAGTATATCAATCCTGCACACATTAACCAAAAGCAATCGACGATTAACGCAATCCTGCAGTCCTGCTTCGGCAATACTCGATGAAACAAATATCAATTGCTTCGGAACCAAATCAACCGCTTAAATCCATGCAAACAATTCTAATTTAGAACGCCGAAAAAATCATAATAATAATAATCAACCATTTTCAATGCAACAATTACAAAAACGGAGAAGACGCAGGTGAAAAGAAGACAGCCACATTCCACCACCAAAACCTGTAAGATAAATTGCTCTGTATTTCGAGAAAAAGGCGAATAAATTACCAGAAGCGTAGCGGCTATGCTTGAGGACGAAAGGATAGCGAGTCCTGCAAGGAAAGAGCGATGAAATGCGAGGGTGGGGGTGGGGGGGAGCGGCGTGTATGGGAAGATGGGTGTGGATGAGCCGAACAGCGCAGAGGTCCGCCATCCTTTCAAATTCAATCAAGAGCAGGTGATGACTGTTGGTTTGGAGGAGTGAGAGTATATGCATACATAATGTATATATATATGCGTGTGTGTTGGATGAGAAATGGGGATAAACCTAGAGTCGAATTAATGGTGTTGAACGCTTTGGGGGAACATGATGGAGAAGAATAGACTCATTTCAAAATAAATAAATAAACAATTGCAAGTAATAATTAAGCCTGTTTTTGTTTCTTTTTAATTAATTTATTTTTTTTTAAAAAAATTATATTTTTAGAGTATCATCATAAATTATACTCCCTTCGTCAATAGTATAAAGTATAATGTAAAATATTAGAATGCTCTTTCTTACTTTTTGAAAGATTTTAAAAAATAAATTAAAGTAATAATCAGGAATAGTATAGAAAAGTAGGAATAATTTTGTTATAAAGTGCGACTACGACTACTAAATAAAAAAACAAAGACAATTGTTTTTTAACTGATAAAAATGAAAAAACAAGACAACTATTTTGAAACAAAGAGAGTACATTTGATTACACCACTATATTTAAGATTATAATAGATAAACCTTATTGTTTTCCCACAAAATTAGGGGAATTTAGAGGAGAGGGAATGATATATATGTTTTTATTTTATAAAATTACTATTATTATATTCTTAATATTATATATTATTTTATCTATATTTAATTATACATAAATTATATTATATGTATTTTATAATTAATAATTAGTTATAATATTTTTAAATTTTATAATGTAATTAAATTATAAACAAAATTTTATATAAATTACATTAAATTAATTTTATTTATTTTAATCATTTAATTAAATCCTTAAGAGTTAGGTTTTAATTAGTAAAATAAACTCATATATTTTATATTTATTTAACACTAATTTACTTTAGGTAAATAAAATTTATGTTAGAATAATTATTTTGTTCTTAATTGATTCAATTTTCTTATATATAATTTTATTTTTATTTATGTTTTATTTACATGATATAAGTTTATATATACTTATTTTAAAACAAGTCATTCTTATATCAAAATTGGTGTTTTATTAATAAATTAATTAAATTTTATTAAATATTTTTATTTTTATTTATTTATACAATATAGGGATAAAATAGTAAATTATTATATTTTCCTTTTCTCCCTTGTTTAACCTAACACAAAAATATTATTTTATCTCCCCTCCCCTCCCTTTATTTCTATACGAACCAAACAAACTATTACAAATTTAATATTCTCTCGCCCTCCTCTTTCATATGAACTAAACAAACTATTACAATTTTAATATTTTCTCTCCTCCCCTTGTCTCCTCTCACTTCCATTAAAATCTCTCTCATCCCTTACCTTCATTTGAACCAAACAGGCCCAACAGTTTATTCATTTTTTTTTTATTTTGTTCGTCTCATTACAAAGTATCCATTTATTTTTTTTTAGTAACGGTATTATCTACCTAACCTTACAAACACCTTTTCAATTTATCATATATTACACAAATTTCATTACTTTTATATCATACAATACTTATAAGATTATTTTAGTTTTTTTTTTTTTTACATTTATTTCGACTACATCCCAGATATGAAACGGATTAAGTATTTAATTAATTAAAAATAGTAAATTATGATATTATTTTATTATACTCCCTCTATCCCTTATTTATCCCTTATTTATGTATCTATTTTCTTTTAGCATGGAGTTTTAAGAATATTAGTATTATATTGGGGTGTGGTATGAATAAAGTAAAAAATATTAAAAATAATCTTATTAGTAATGTGTAATATAAAGATAAAGTAATGACATTTGTGTACTATATTGTAAGTTGTAAGAATATTTGTAATGTTAGTAGAAAGTAGAGTTACTAAAAAAATGAAATGAATATTTTCTTATAGGAAAGACCAAAATAGAAAAATATATAAATTTTTAAGGGACGGGAGTATATATATATTTTTTATGAAAAGTGTATTATTAGTAAGGCAAAATAGCAAAAAATCTCACTTTGGTTTCTCGAATTTGCTAAAAACCCCATTATGGTCCTAAAATTCCAAAAAACCTACTTGTGGTTTCCAAAATATTGCAAAAAATCTCATTTCCGTTATGATTTAACTGTGGTTGCATTTCACACGCTCATAATGCGACTCTTTGGACATTAATTGATATATCAGTGCTTAAAATTACAAAATACCTTCAAATATTAATAAAGCTCATTTTCTCTCTGCTTTATTTTCATCCTTTTCTTTCTCTTTCTTCTTCCTTCAATTATTCTAATATGTTATCTTAAAAACAACAAGAGGAAATGGAGCTATGGCGATTATATAATTGAGAGTCTTTTGGAAGTCAGTTTATTTAATTCTTCGATTTTGAAGAAAGAATTCAGTAATTTCCCTAGACGAAGGTTTCTCTAGTGCCGAGGAAAAACTACATCACTCTGCGATACGAGGTGAGAGGGCTGTCGTACAGTTTTTTGCGATTGTGGAGGAGATTTAAATATTTGGATCTAGATCCAGATCCGTAGCTTAGTTTGTTTATGCTGTAACTTACATTAGATAAATAATATATTTTTTCTTATACAGAAATTGGAATTCTCGCCCTTCACTGTTTCGCTTTCATCCTCAATTTCCGAAATAATTAGCAAAATTCATCTATGTTATGGTGATTAATATATTAAATTCTTATTATCTAAATAAAACAAAAAAATAACAAAAAAATAACAAAACAAAAAAAAAAACCCAACAAACCACCTATTGATTCTGCTCCTAGAATTTCATGGTCTCCTTAGATTTCATGGGTATCTGTTTCCGACTTTAATTCATCTTTTTTTTTTTATAAATTGTTTAGATTGATTTTCAATTTTGGGGGTTTTTTTGTTTAGATTGATGATGCGTAATTTTAGAAATTGAATCTTTGGATGTAATTTGTGTGAATGTTCATATATGAATGGAAAAATTACTCCGAAGAAAGAAAATAAAAATGACATTACAGTGAAAAATATAAAAAGAAAATGAAAGAAACAAAAGTGTAAAGAGTGAAGAAGAAATAAATAAGAAAGAAGAAAAAAAATGAGGCTGACAGCGAAAAAAAAAAATAGCACAAGGGAGGAGCGATTGTGCAATATTTTAGAAACTACGAATAGATTTTTTAAAATTTTAAAACTACGGGAGTTTTCAGCAAATTCTAAAAAACACATGGAGAATTTTTGCTCTTTTGCCTATTAGTAATTTTAAAACAAGAACTAATATATAATTAAAAGTATTTCAAATATGTATTTAATTATTTTAAAAATTTGTAGATAATAAAAATTTATAATACAAATATATAAAAAATAAATTTATTTATTTATGATTAATATAAATTAATTTTATAAAATATGAATAATTTTAAATGTAGATAAAAATATTAATTTTTTGATAAGAGATAACAATAAAATAGTTTTAAATTAGAGAATTGTTGATGGTGCAAATCTAAATCTCATGTTGGAAGATCGAATAAAAGAACCCACACTTTATAAGTCTCACATGAACTCTACTAGTATGAGAAAGTACAAAAACAAATTCGTGCGAACTCGATCAAAAATGGATAATATCATACTAGTGTTGAGTTGACTCAATATTCACACCTTCAATAAATGAATATTTACGAGTAAACCAATAACAAATTCTAGTAATAATTATTAGGAATAACTTACTCGATAGTTTTAGGATATGCTAAACGAATGACTATATATTGAACCTATCCAAATTTTACAAGAATCATCTATTTGCGACTAATGATCATAACTATCGAATTCTAAAAAAATGATGCATTCTTTCGTATTTCAACAACATTGCTATCTTGAAATTTAAGCATAAACGAAAATGCAAAAATATCTATAATATGAATCAAAATAATAATAATAATAAAAAAATAATTTACACACACCATATGATAAAAAAAAAAAAATTTCAAAAAAAATAATTTGAATTTAATATTAATATTTGGAAATATTCTATAAGAAAAGAGATTGTATATATTTATAATTTTTCTCTTAATATAAGTTTGTTTGTTTTTATCAAATATATTGTTTAATAAAATTCATACATGTATCTCCTTTCGGTAACACTTGTTACTAATCTGAGATAGTATTTATTATTTTTTATTATATATTTAATTTTTTATATTTCACATATAAAAAAATTTATTCAAATTAATTTACAAAATAAAATTTAAAAAATTGAAAAAAAATAACAAAATAAGAATAAAAATACACCTTAATCTACTGTAAGTCTATACCTCTATATATCTTTCGCCCAATTATGAAGTCATGTTTACCGGATACATAAGAATTTAAGAGACATCTTATTAGTAAATAATTAAGAAATTATTACAAAATTAATTACAATATAATACAAATAATTATAAATTAAAAAATTAAAAGTAATTATTTTAATAAAAGTTAAAAGAATTATAAATTATAAAATTTAAAATATAATTAAAATATAAAATATTTCTCCAAAAAATAAAAAGTGACAAAAATATTATAAAATATGGAACTAAAAAAAAGAAAGTGTGACTTAATATATAGGACGAAGAAATATAATAATAAAACTAATAATGTCAACTTTTTTGTTCTATACAATTTATTTATTTTTTTAAAAAATTATTTATAATTTTAATTAGATTTTAAATTTATAATTTTTTAATATTAATTAAATTATATAATTATTTTTATTATATAATAATTATTTTTACTAATAAATTTTATAATTTTATGATAAATTAATTATATTTTACTTAAATGTTTACAAAAGAAGATATGGATAAGCATGAAGGTGGATTTTAACCGAACAACCCAAAAATAAAAGAGACTGACGTACGTTCGAGTCAGGTTCCACGTCACGTGAACGTGAGTTTCGGCGATATCGCTGCTAGAGTTGGGATCCCGGACCTCCTACCACAATCCGCCGTCTCACTCACACATCAAACAAGAACTGAACTGAACGGCCACCGATAGCAGTTTCCATTTCGTTTCTGCAAAATTTCCCAAGAATTCTTTGATGGCTTTGAGCCGCGAGCAGTATCTTTACCTGGCCAAGGTAGCCGAACAAGCCGAGCGCTACGAGGAAATGGTCCAGTTCATGGACAGCCTCGTGGCCGGCTCAGCCGCCGGCGCCGAGCTTTCCGTCGAGGAGCGGAACCTCCTCTCCGTTGCTTACAAGAACGTAATCGGCTCGCTTCGAGCGGCGTGGCGCATCGTATCCTCGATCGAGCAGAGGGAAGAGAGCCGCAGGAACCACGGCCACGTGTCCCTCGTCAAGGGCTACAGATCCAAAATCGAGGCCGAGCTCTCGCAAATCTGCGCCCAAATTCTCAAACTCCTCGCCGATCATTTGATTCCTTTGGCGTCGTCGAGTGAGTCGAAAGTGTTCTACATGAAGATGAAAGGCGATTATCATAGGTATATGGCGGAGTTTAAGGTCGGAGATGAACGTAAGGTGGCTGCTGAAGAGACGAAGTTGGCTTACAATGCTGCTCAGGTATATATACAAATACAGGGCTGTAATTAGATAATGTAACCTCTTGATTTTCTAACTTAGTTGCCTTTTTCGCTGTGATTAGAATAATGTTGAACTCGAGTTAAGTTATGGCTATGGTGAATTATCGATGAGTGATAATGTATGGTATTAGGTAAATTCAATAAGTGTTTTGGGAAGTTAAAATAGGTGGATTATCCTAGTTATAGATAAAGGATGTAGAGTGATGAGAAGTAGCCAATGATTGTTCAAGGATAAAATTCTGCATTCTTTCTTTGATCTTGTTCCATTCTTTTCTCCATATACGCAAGAAGGTGGTTTCAGAGTGCTTTCTGCCAACAATGGAGTGCGGCAGCTGTAAAAAGTATTATATTTGGTGGGCATTAGTATCAGTTGAAGATAAAGAGTTCAGATTTATTTAAATGTACAAAGTTATCGATAGGGATCTAAGCAGACTCTGGATTTTCGGGCTGATAAAACTTGGGGGTTTTTGACCTGTTTTTCTTATTTAGCAGTTTAAATGTTGACGGATATCTGTAGTCGAATCTCTCACCCAATTTAGGGTTGCTGCTTTCTGATTACCTTCTAATCTTCTTTCACAGTAGAGTTCCTGCCTTTGTGCTTTTGACTGACCTGTTGGAGACTTGGATGGTTTAACTGCCGTTATGGTGATTAGTTAAAGTCATAATTTGGGACATAACCATACTTTATCAAGATTCACTTGGAGCCTAAGTGTTTCCCAACTTGAACAATTGACTTCATTTAAGGAAATGAAATATAAATGCCGATTAGGATGAACACAGTTGATTTTGTGATTATTAGTTTAATTACCATATGAAGGGACCAGCAGATCAATTCAAGGTGATGGCAAACCCTTTATGTGTATTTTTATATCACTAAACTTCGTTGCATTCAGATTTTAAATAAGATTTGAAAACTCAATCTTCCCATTTATGTATATATGTCTCTTTCTTAGCACAGTTTCTTCACTAAGAACATGGATTAAACTTATATGACAACGTAACAGCATTTAATTTGCAACGTTTGATATTAGGTTTTCCAATGGAATGGAGAAAGTGAATATGCTTTTCATGTCTGTTTGTGTTGCTGTTCTAACTCATGACCATGTTTCCTTTATATAACCAACAATGAACAGGACATTGCACAAGCTGATCTTGCACCAACACATCCTATACGGTTGGGATTGGCATTAAATTACTCAGTTTTCTACTATGAAATCTTAAATGCAACAGAGAAAGCTTGCAGCTTGGCCAAACAGGTTAGTTAATCTCACATGCGGTGTCGTTTGATAATTCTTGTCGTTTTACTCATTTATGCCTTTTGTTTGGTAAACATTTGTTCCCTGTTCATTGCTTCTTTATGTTGAATAACATCAAGTATTCCTTTCATTGATTTAATGTTATTGATTGTGTGTTAGTGGACTAAGTTGCATTAACTAACTTAGAGCATCTTCTTCAAAGCTCAATTTCATTAGTTCTTTTTTGAAAGGCATGGTGTTTGTAATGTACCCTGTTAACATCTGTTCCCGGATGAACTGAAAGTTAATCTCGATATGTTTGGTTCGCTCATGTAATACTAAAGTAGAAGTAAAATGAATCATAGCTTGACAATATAATTTTATTTAAGGGTCATTTTATGCACCCAAATAGCACCTTTTTTTCCGGGTAAAGTGACCGTCAATCTCGACATATTTGATTTGCTCGTCAAATACTAGATAAGAAGAGAATATATTGTTGTTTCACAATATAATTCCATTTAAGGGACATTAATGAACTTAAGTTCTCTTAGAGTAAGTGCTTGATCCAAATAAGCTCACATTTAGTTAAGGCCATAATTCGACAATGAGGTTTATGAGCCGATAGAGAAACTACATTTACTTTTACTTTCCCATGAAACAAGGTTGTCTCCAACAAAGTACAATATCCAGTTAAGGCCATAATTCGACAATGAGGTTTATGAGCCGATAGAGAAACTACATTTACTTTTACTTTCCCATGAAACAAGGTTGTCTCCAACAAAGTACAATATCCAGATGTAGAACACTTATCATATGGTCAGAATGTCCAATGATGTGATTATATCCTTGATTTATATATAGCAAATCCATCCCAGTGAGTGGTACGTGGCTATTGAAGAACTTGTTGACGACACTAACAACATGGATAAATGTTAGGGTGAGTGACAATAAGATAATTCAACTTACCAATTAGTCGTCAATCGCAGCCAATATATGTTAGAGGATCCCCTTATCAGGAAGAAGTTTGTTAACATCCATAAGAGAGCTTGCAGGCTTAAAGTCTGTAGTGTGTTTCTTCTAGCATATTCGAAGCATAGTTTCCTTGTGAAATCACAAGGCCTTCAGTTGATGAAGGTCTACAATGCCAAGAAAATATGTAAAAGTGGTCCCAAGTCCTTATTTTAAAAATATTGGAATAAACGATGCTTGAGAACTCATATTCCATCTTTCTCGCTACCAGTAATGGCAATATCAACAACATAGACAATAAAATATTACATGGGTCAATACTAGTATGCCTATAAAAGAGTAATTTTATCCACATTTAGTCATTCCTGAATCGTAGCACTAAATCACCTTAACCAAGCACGAAAAAACTGTTTTAAGATATATAGAGAACGAGAAGCTTACACACAACACTTAGACTCCCTGTAGAGGCTGGGCAACAAAGCTTGGTGGCTATTCAAATTCTTTTTTTCCTAAAAAAAATATCACATCAAACAATTACTTTTCTGTTTTTTATATTATACTACAAATTTATTTTACAATCAAAAGATCACATCAACCTCTATTTATATCACATCAAACAATTATTCAAATTCAACTTTTTACTATTAAAAAATCCAAACCCAAAAACTAAAACCCACAAACAAACACACCTTTAATGTCCAACTAACAAAAAGTCCACCCTCTATACCTACAAGAGAAATAAACAAGCAAACATATGACATGTAGGTCATTCGGCAAATGGTGTTGGTGTAATCCTGATCATAAATTTGAATGAACCCTTTGGCAATCAAACGAGCTTCAAGACGATCAAGCTTGCCATTAGGACCAATGTTAATAGCATAAATCCAATGACATGCAATTGTAGATTTATCTCAGGGAAAACAAACCAACTCTCAAGTACTATTTGCATCCAAGGCAACAATCTTATCCGCCACCTTAACCAAGATGAGAAATAGTCTACGAGATAGTCTTGGGAATAAAAATTGACTTTGATGTAGCCACAAAACTATAAAAAAAAGTGGACAAACGGTTAAGAAATTATAAATAGGATTTTATAGTGGAAAATCTATCTATTTGAAGAACAAACAAAGAAAAGTTGTTGGATGCTGAAAGGGGTGGGACCAGCGATTAGTTGGAGTCAGAAAGGAATGGGTAGGAACATGATGGGAAGATAAAGAAAGATGTCGGGGATGATGCACTTGGCGAGGAGGTGAAGAGGAAGGAACAACAAGTGGTGAGTATGGGATAGGGAGAACAATCAACATAGTAGGAAAAGATGGGGAGGGATAATAGAGAGGTGAGCACATCAATAGAAATGATATATCGACCTTGAATAGATTAGTAGCAAATGATCCCATTTGAACCCTAGAGTATCTAAGAAAGACATATTGATAAAAAAAGGCATTGAGAGCATGCACATAAAGTTTAGTAGACCAAGAGTGATTATGAATAATACAAGTACACCCCAATAATGGAAGCAGACACTAATGAGGAATCTCATCCCGAAGGATGGAACAAGGCATCTGATTGATGTGGTAAGAGGCATTTAGTGTGTTGACCCAACCTTTTTTTAGTGACACGATTCTCAATTAATATTACTAAAAAATATAATATATACATATATTCACACAATGTCTAAAAATATATACTCTTCACTCACATAAAGTCATTAACTAAAAGCAAAATATTAATTTTTATATTAACAACACGCTTCTAATATCTAACACTAATAATACATCTATCAAAAAAACACAGTGAACATACCCATTAAGTACCATGTCAACTCAAACTGTATGGTTCTTACTGAAAATGCTATTTTCCTGAAGAGTATAGGCACAAGAAGATTAATGGATGATACTGTGAGATAGTGTGTATTGGGACATAGAGAAACATTCAAGAGCATTATCCCTTTGTAAAATTTTGATAAGCAAGTTAAATTGAGTTTGAATTTTAGCATAAAATGAAGAAAAAACATAAGGGTTATTCAGAATGAGTTCTCATTTAAGTAAAACCAGCCTGAAAAATCATCCACAAAAGGGACAGTTATTGAACACATAAAAACCCAATGTAAGACTAGGATACAATATATCATAGTAGACCCTATCAAAGGGTGCAAAAGCCTGAGCAAAACTTCCTAAGGAAATGAAGCAGCTTCCTAGGCGTAGAGGAACCACACCAATCCATCCCGAACTTGGTGGTTAAACTCTACTGCGGTGACGATACTGTAGGAGAGGTCCTGCGGAAAAATAGCTCGACGCCAGGATGATAAAAGGCTTAACACCTCTCATTCCTGATTACCAAGTTGACAAGACCCACAATTGAAACATGACAATAAAGACAAATGAGAAGCTGTGCATTTGAATTTAGACGGACAAAGATGACCAAAACGCTGGTGAAGGAGGGAAGAAAGAATCAACATTAAAAATGATAGAATAATCTAAAGATTAAGTTAATCTACTGAAAAAAAATAATACTAAAAGACATTGATCCGTCCTAGTTGGCAATTCTAGATAAAGAAAGAATAACATTAAAAGGAAGAGGACAAGTTATACTAATAATGGCTCTACGACCATTAGCCAAAGTAGCAATGATAAAGATTTAGATAGATGAAATGAAGAGAAAAGAAAAGGATAACCATGTATATATTACCAAAAGCCCTTGAATCAAGAATTCAAGAACGTAATGGACAAATATGAGACACGCTATAGGGCCATCCAAATGAGAGAAACAAAGGCAATAAGTGGGGAGTAGATTACTTGGATGCCTAGTACTCAAGGAATGCTTCATCTTCAGATCCACCAATCACCATAGTAGGAGAATTGTTTCCAAGAGGTGGAGGTGGATCGACATAAACTATGTGAGTTTGAGTGGGGTGCCTATGCAACTTGTAGCATCATTCCTTGGTATGACCTTACCAATTGCAGTGAGTACAATAGGGATGAAGGTTGCAACCCTGAGTATAACACGGCTATCCGTGGCTTTCTTAGGGCCTAATATAGATACCAATGCAAGATTACCACCATTTATATTAAAGTCCAAAGACAACATAAAGTAGATGAATATAAACGTCATTATATGATGGTATGATGAAGCTTAGTAGAATCTGATCACAAACCAAGACAATCTAGGTTGAAGACCGGTAAGAATGCACACAATAAAGAATATGTCTCGTTGTTTAAGTTAAATCAACTGATAGACCAGCCTAGTGGAAGAAGACTATTAGAGTTAGCCTTGATGGACAACATTTGTCCCCAAAAATTTAAACAAAGATGAGGCATATAAATGAACATAAGTGGAAAGTGTAGGCTGCGGCAGCAGCATGCAAAAAAGATGAGGACATCAAAGGTGGTATGCGAGGAGTCGGCAATGGCAGCTATGGTGACAATTGTGTGCAAAGGAGACAACAAAAATGTGGGTTTGAAAGAATTGGGTCGATTTGAAAGTTAACCCTTCAACTTTGGCTTTAATACCATGTGAAGTTAATTATGCAAAAATTGATGACGTCTTTAGTTGGTAATTTTTTATTTTTGGATTTTAGTTCTTGGTTGGGATAGTGATTTGAATGTGATATTTTACCAGAGAAAACAATATATTTTTATAGGGAATTTAGAAAAAAAAATGAAAAAAAAAATCCAAGTGAACAAAGCATAAATTTCTATAGTATATAAAATACGTATAATTAAGTCCAATGTGCTTAACCTTGCTATTATCTAGCAATTATTATCTAACAAAGTCTATTGTTTTTCGGTAATCTAATATTACCATTCTATTATAAAGCTTTTACTGAAATATTGTTTATATAATGTTTTATGTTATTGAACATGTTTGTGGATGTATTTGAGAAGCTATTTTTCTTAATAAATTGTTTATATGGAGACGATCAATTTATTTTGTAGTTATGTCATCATCTAACTGAGTGTATGCTAGTAAGTAGCTTAATTATGTCTTCAATAATAAAGCTTTTATTGGAATACTGCTTCTATATTATTTTATATTTATTGAACGTGCAGTTTGTTGATGTATTTAAGATGTATTTATTATATTGATGTGTTGTCGCTTAATAAATTACTATATATGCAGATGATTAATTTATTTTGTTGTTATATTATATATTGCATACATATTTATGAAATGCTGACACAGACTATAGAAGATAAATTTAGTTAGGATTCATTAAATAAAGTCAGCACCAGATCTGCTTGTTCAGTATTTTACTCTCAAAGCAGTTGTCAAACGAAGTTATGTAATGCAAAGGAATTTTAGAGGGTATTACTCCCTTCGTCCCACTTCTCATGTCCACCTTTACATTTCAGTCCGTCCCACTTATTTTGTCACTTTTCTTTTTTGGAAAAGAATTATATACTTTAATTTTAGTTTAAAAAATTTAATCAATAATTTTTTTTTATTTTAATTATACTAATCAGTTATTTTAATTTTAATCTATAATTATTTTTATTATAAAATAATTATTTTTATTAATATATTTTTAATTATTTACTAATTATACCCCTCCTAAATTTTCGTGTCTATAGTAAAGCGGATAAAATATCCGGGACGGAGGGAGTATTTGGTATTTTATTTCCATGTTCTTTCTTCTTCCAAGAAAGTGGTATCAAAGTCATATTTAGCTAGTGTGGTGTTGCTATAATTGTAGCCTTGTGTTGGTGTAATAGGAAACTTTCAGCTGAAACTGTTCCACTGCTTCGTAGAAATCATTTGTTGTGTTGTTGTGGCTCGTGTCATTGGAAATATTCATTTTCCTTCTATACCTCAATGGCTACTAATTATGACGTTGAAGATGTGTGCTGATGCCCTATTTTATTGTTCCACAATAATTTGTTTGGAAATATTCATTTTCCTTCTATACCGCAATGGTTACTAATTATGAAGTTGAAGATGTGTGCTGATTGTGCTGCTGCCCTATTTTATTGTTCCATAATAAATGTTGTTGTTTGCTGCTTGCCGTCAAAAGTAGCTAATTTAGAATGCCAAAATCCTCATGGCTCCTTTATTTGAAAAAGAAGTCATCAACCTCAAAACCCTAGTAACCCTCTTTTTAAAGTACTCTTAGTAAACCATACTTAATATAAAATAAGTCCACCCAAGACATAACAAAAATTTGTAAAATCAGGCTAATAAAAGCCTAAACCCACGAACAGAAAGCCTAAGCCTGTCCGCTCACAAATATATAACTAATGGCTCCTCTCTCTCTCTTCTTGCTTCTGCTCTTTATCACAGCCATATATTGTGAGACTGCCGAAGATATAAAGTCTTCCTCTTCCTCGTCGAAGGACCAAGGGGTGTATGAATCTATCAAACTCGTATGGGTCTGTTTCTTTGAGGTTTTCTGTGGGTTTTAGGTTTGTGTTTTGATTTAAATATTCCTTTTATGTGATGGTTTGTGAGATGAAATATTGTGTATTTATTGGGGAATGTGTGGACTGAATAGGGAAGAACTTGAAAAGAAATCCCAAAGAAACAGAGCCTTAAAGATTGTTATCACATCGAGTTTGAACAAGAAGATGAAAAGCTATCAGCAGGAGCAGGGAAAAATTTGGTGAAATAAAGTTTAGAGTGAGAAATTAGCAAATAGGGAATTTAGATGAAATCTTTAAACAATTGGAAAACAACTGTGGAATTGGAAGGCATTAGTGGCAAGCCTGTCCAAAAGGTTAGATTTTCTATTGATAATTTTGTATCGCACAATTTCATTGTCCATAGATTGAGAAATATAGTAGACATCTCTGTTGCCACCAAATTTGCAAAATTTTATATTTGGGGGAAAAGGTCAATTTTAACAAATCAATCCTACTCGAGCCACGATCTTCAACACAACCAGCATTATCCCCAATGGATGAGGAGGAAGTTAGAAATTTTAGCTGTGTATATAGTGAGAAAGCGAAAAGAAGCGTTAATCTAGACAGATGCCATTCAACCTATTTTCTTTCTGCAATATATTCTACCCTCATTTCCCTTATAGCTTTAGTCAACAACATCAATTTATAGCAATTCCTGATGTTTTCAAGAAGGAAACTCTAGTTCATTCATTGCCTTTTCACTAACTTTGTTGTAATCAATACTGCTTGAGAAGTCTGATCTATTATCCTAAGAACCCACATTTGAGTATATCACAAGCTCTCGTTCATATTGCTCTTCATTTACTTTTTGGGTTCTCTTGGATGAATTAAATTTAAGGTTTCATTACTTAGTATATATGAATTTAACACTATAATATCCTGGTGGTTGTTGGTGGATATTAAGTTTGACGATGAAAGTCAGGCTATGCTCTTGTTATCCTCATTACCTGAAAGTTGGTCAAGAATAGTCACAGCTGTTAGCTGTTCAACTAAAACTTCTAAACTCACCTTTGAAGGCATTCTTGATTTAATCATAGAAGAGGATATACAGAGACGAAATTCTAGTGAAATTTCAAGCGCCCCGTTGAGCATGGAAATGAGAGACAGAAAGAAAGAAAAGGGAATGGCAAAGGACGATCAAATTTTAGAAAGAGGAGTCAGTCAAAGCCAAGGAAAGACATTCAATGCTGGAATTGCAAAAAGGACGGGCACTTTAGAAATCATAGCTCAAAACCGCCAGAGAAAAAATAAAAGATGAATGCCAGTACAAACAACTCAAACGATGAACTCATCCGCCAGAGAAAAAAAAAGTGAATGCCAGTCCAGACAAAACTCAAACAATGAACTCATCTATTGTGTTGAGAATTCAACTGAGTCGTGGATCCTGGATTTTGGTGCATCATTCCATGCTCATTTAGCACGAAGACAATGAACAAGTAACTTTGGTAAAGTTCGTTTGGCTAAATGCTCATCTCTATAGTTGGCAGCCTCATGTATGCGATGGTGTGCACGAGACCAGACATTGCTCATGTGGTCGGGGTTGTTAGTCGCTACATGTCCAATCCGGGATAAAACCCTGGGAAGCCGTCAAGTGGATACTAAGGTATTTGAAGGGTACTTCCGAGATGAAGTTATGTTTCAGAGGCAAAAATGTGATTCTAAAAGGATATTCCGATTTGGGTGGATGCAAAGAGACGCTTAAAAGCACTCAAGGTACATCTTCTCAGTGGGAGGAACTGCAGTTAGCTGGATGTCTAAGCTTCAGAAAAGTGTGACGCTTTTGACAACAAAAGCTGAGTATATGGCATTTGTTGGTTAGCAAAGAGTTAGTTTGGTTAAAGAACTTCCTCCTGCTGTTAAACTTGTCAAGAATCCAGTCTATCATGGGAAAACAAAGCATATTGAGATGAGATAACACTTCATCATAAGATTGATCAGTGAAATAATGATGAAGTAAAAGAACAACTTAGGCATTATGAATTTAGCATATATGTTCACAAAGTTATGCATGACTTTAGCTGATCTTCATGAGAAATGATGAGAAGACCGGGGCAATCATGTGAAGTTAGAATTTTATGGCAGTACAGTGGAACACAGATGTTTTGAAGCCTCCAAGTGAGATTGTTAAGTCTAGGCTTCTTTCGGGGTAGTTAACCCTAATGGGGTAATTGGAGTTCGGGCCCAATTTTCTGATTAACCCTAACCTAGTCTTTAAATGCTATCTCTTTTACTTGTAAAAAGTGCGCCTCCTAATACTACAGTAATAAGAGAAATTCTTGGTTGCCCCCGTGGACGTAGGTCAATAACCCTTATCGGCCGAACTGCATAATCCTTTGTGTTCTGTTTATCTTGTTTGTGTGTGTGAGTTAATCTTAACATTGCCACCCTCTTTTGTTGTTTCACAATAATTTCCTGTTGCCTCTTTCAGCCAAAAGTTGCCACTTCAATTGGTGGTGGCAACTTTGAGCATGTTTTTTCTTTCAATATCCTTGAGTCATTGACTAACCAAACACAATTACAAAAATTGAGCACTTCATATGAAGACTATACTTGGTCTATAAGATCGTTTTGCAAACACAAAATTGACTTTGAAAGAAGAAAAAATCAGTGGAGGCGATGTCCGAAGGGAAGGAATAACAACACTCAGTAAAACACTCAATAACAACATTCCCTATTCTACAACTATTTATAGAGTAAAAAACCTCGCCACTTATTTTATGCATTTAGAAAGATATGATTTAACACAATTCGCAAACAAAAATAAAGTTTAAGAATTGTTCAGTACATTGAATACTTCTTGGAATTGTGATAGGATCGGTGGTCCAACTTTTCTCGAGAATAATAAAGTAAAATATATGTTCAACCATATACATCTTCTTAACTTTATGATTTCTAATTAATTTGTTCTCCAAGCTCAAACATTAATGAAGTAATAGAAAGTGAATCAAGATAGCTAAGATGGAGCATGGATCTCTTTTGATGTACTTGTATGTGGCTTTCACGTGGCAGGCATTTGAAGAAGCTGTTGCAGAGTTGGATTCATTGGGTGAAGAATCATACAAGGACAGCACTCTGATCATGCAGCTTCTGAGGGACAATCTCACTCTTTGGACCTCTGATTTGCAGGTAGACAACTTTTACACTCGGAAATGATTTATTTTATTTTTACTTTTTTATGGATAGAATGTATAGGTTAAGTTTTTTCTTAGTTTCGCGCAAAACATCATGGTTAACTTTGTTACCTGCCGCCAAGCCCATGTAGATCAAGAGGTGAGGCATCCTCCGCTTGGGGGCTATGATCCGGGTTCGAACCAATAACCAACTCTTATGTAGGACTTTTGCTACCTCATATATGAATTTTTGGTAAAACAGTAGTGTCTTTAAATTAACTTAAGATGAAACAAGCATCGAATATAAAGACTAGATTGTAATGAGGAGATTTTGATGAGAACACTTACACGTATGTACTCTATTTGTTAACTTCAGATGAAACACTTCACTGTTATTAAAAACAATATGCAACATATGCTACCTTTTAGAATAGTTGGAAGTTGAATAGAAAAATTGAAATGAATTTTCACTTTTCGATATCTTTGGGGTCAATGCATGCAGGACCAAATGGACGAGGCTTGAGGCGACAATAGCTTTATCTGCTCCTTGTAGAGGTGGGCTTCATCAGTTCGTTGCCATAATATGTGTGTGCGTGTGTTTTTCCCCCTATGATTCACTGAAATACATGCTGACTGGTGTTGGGCTTCTAGTTTGTTTTGCACTGTTGTGATGCATAGAAGCTTATATAGGTTCTATGTTTTCACATTATTTAGCTTCTTTGTAAATCTCAGGAAGAATGATAATGCTCTCGCAAATAGGGTCAAACGACTGAATACTATTGTTTGTATGCTTCTTGAAGATTTCTCAGTACAGCTGAATATGTGATATGTTTGTCAACTTCCTCAAATTGGGTCAGTATACCAAACATGTGACTTGTTCATTCGTTAATCATTCTCTTGGAATTTGCCCTTGGTTGTTGTAATGTACTCGTTCTAATGGTTTGCCATGCACATTTTAATTTTCATTCTTGTCTAATTTTCAGGTTAGTTATTTGATTATTGTTCTCGACATAATAAATCTGGTTAACAAATAAAGATTTATTGTACATTGAATCAAATTTCCTCAGATTTAACCAGATTTCATTTTCATTTGTGTTGCTGTTGTTTGTGTTCTAAATTGCAGGTTTGATTGTTCAAGTTTATGATATCTTGGAGGGTGAATATGCATTTAGGTTGAAAAACTATCGAATTTTACTTTTCTTTGATGAAGACTGAGAGATCACTTCAGTTGATATATTTATATCACTACAATGTTCTATAATGTATATTTGTTATCAGGCTATCTACTACCGGTATAATTTTACATAATTATTAGTATGTTTGGTTGCCTTAGAATTTTTAGCAAAAATGGATATGGCCTAAAAACTTGATCCTTGACATTGCATGAAAAAGTTGGACCCAGACCTTAAAAATGGTGAATGATGAGACTCCAATCCCTTAATAGAAAACAACAATGAATCTGACCAATTTACCGCCGGCTTGGCCTTCTCCATCACCTTCTCGCCATTTCCAGTGCCGATAAGGTGAGAGTTGCCCAAATCATCGATTTTTTTCTCTCTTTTCCAAAAAAGATATTAAAATGGAATTTTCATCCATGAAATCAATGGAGAAGTGCGAGAGAAGATTCTTGCAACAAGGACATCCAACAAACAACTAGAAACTAGCTGGAGAAATCATGAACGGCGACGAGATGAAACCCTAAATTGTGATGAAGATGAATCGGAGTGATTGAATGAGAGAGAAATAAAAAGTGAGTGGTGGGTGGGTAATTGAATAATTGGCTGGGTAGGTAAATTAATTGGGTGGGTAGGGTTAAATTTAATTTTGGATTATTAATTTATAAAATGTATTTTAGGATTTGTAATTACTGGTGTTTAATGAGTGGTATTTTTGTAAATATATGAAAACATTGGGATAAAAATTAAGAAGGGTTTATATACTTCTTTTACTAAATAAGGTTCCCAAAAAAATAAAAAAGAGCACAAAATTGAATGACGGATGGAGTAATAATAAAAAACACTTAATCTAGTTGTTTTTCATTTATGTTTATGTGCTTTTTTGTTTCCAATATATTTGGCTGCCTCAACAATTGGCTAATATTAGTTGTGTATACTTATGTTGACATAATTAAGAGAAAAGTAATTTATTCAATCTATTCATCACAACTAATTCATATGCTATGTCCATTTAATAGTAGTGTTGAACCGATGATTTTGTTATATTTTTATAGTCTTGGTTATGTTGATATGATTTGTTGAAGATTGATGATTCAAACAAATGTGTTTAAGTTGCTCAAATGTATGTGGAATTGAAGAGAGTCCGAGGAACTAAAGAGTGATGCAAATAAATATGAATTGGAAATAATAATGAAAAGATTACTATTTTTAGGATCCTATTACCGAATCTTGAAAATTTTTATTTTTGTTTATTTTTATTTTTAATATTTTTGTGTTTATGTTTGATGGGCATGGAATCCTCAACATCACCCAGCTCCACCCAACCTCTAACCAAAAGTGATGTATATATATATATTTTTGATGAGGTTCGGCCGGGGGTTTACCCAGTGCGTCCTTTTGGATAGCGGCTGCGGGTTCCCATGTCATTAAAAAAAAAAGTGATGTGTATATAATGTATATGTATATGCGATATATAAATATAGATAATGTATATATATATATGTATGTGCATGCATATACATATATACATATATTATATATTTATATATTAATATACATATTATGCATATATATATACACTATTAGACGGGGCTGGGTGGAGCTGGAAAAATAAGGATCGGTGATCTTCTCCCTTTGAATGAGATGAATTTTGCATGTTTCATTTGAAACAATGCAAGAAGTCAAAGGCATAGCTTGGCTATGAGGCTTGACCTTGTTTAGCTATTTGAGATTGTTTACATGTTCAAATTGGTATTTATTTTTTTAGTTTATTTTTAAATTCAAGTATCTTTTTTAAATTTTTATCAATTATTATTTTGGGCTTTAGATTTTTTAATTTTTTAAATAACTACTTTTTCAATTTTGTAATAATTATTTCGTGCAATCGACATCAATTGGTATAAGAGCAATAGCTTATTCACCAATGGCCAAACAAATCCGTGGTCGTGGACATGATGATCAGGGTTAAGGTGGAATGGGTCATGGTGCGAGCAGCCCTGTCGACGAGGCTGCCCCCCGACAATGTGATTTGGACGATGTAGATAATAACAAGTTGAAGAGATAGGTCCGGAAACTTGAACAACGCACAATGAGTTTGAAGACCTAGACGGATGCAAATGATGACTTTGCAAATCTTACTACCGAGGATGAAAAGGAGAAATAAAAGAATGATATCAACTCTTTTATTCGGAACCATTATATTGTCAAAGGAATTGTCTGGGTTTTGGATCCAATTCGTCCTTCAGTGTGTGGATTGAAACCGAATGAGAAAGTAGACACGACAATGCAAGTTCTATAGGATCTGATGAGGAAGTAGACTTGAGGTCGAGTCTTTCTTCAAGTGGGGGAGAATGATGCAACAAATATTGATAGAAAATAGTCGGGCCAACATTACTATTTTCAAGATTCTATTATCAAATCTTGCCAATTTAACTTTTATTTATTTTTATTTTTATTTTTATTTCCGCTTGTTTTATTTTATTTTTGTATCCATCCATGCTTGAAATTGGATGAAATTTACACTGTTCATCTGAAATATTCCAACAAGTCAAAAGCCATAGATTAGCTACGAGGTAGATTAGCTACGAGGCACGACATAATTTTTTAGCAATATAGGGTTGTTTAGGACTTCAAATCAACAACTTTCTAATTATCATAATTTTGTTTTTAATTATGTTTTTGAACTTAATTAATTTTGAGCTCTAAGGTTTCAAATTCTATAATTATCTAGTTTTTTTTTTTTTTTTTTTTTTATGTATATATTGTGTATATATATATATATATATATGGTACAATTAGAGGAGATATTTATAAGGGGAAAAACTTCTAGAAGCTTGGCGGCTACAACTGCCAATAAATAACTATTTCTAAAAATAACTACTAATTACCTCTAAAAATAACCATAAATAACTAACTCTAAAAGTAGCTACTAATATAACTACTAATAACTACCTATTTTTGAGAAGGTTCTAGAATAAAAATTATTAAAAAATAGTCAAAAATTGGCTAAAGAGTGCAGAAATTTAATTAAGGGAGCTGGGAGAACGTAGTAAATGCAGGAGCAGAAGAGCCTGAACAATAAATGGTGCAGTAATTGCTACACAGAATTAATGCAGCCGCCGCTCGCCTTCCGCACTCGTGCACTCCTATGCAGCCGTCGCTCAAATTCTAGTTAATGCAATCGAAGAAACTGAAATGATGAATTGCAGAAATTAAATCTAACTAAAAAACGATAAAATATATGTATTTCGAAAAAGATGAAGCGAGACGTTTGTGTTTGACTTTTGCATTCCTTAATGGCTAGATTTCCATGGATGAAATGAGTAGGTTGACGATGGCGTGATAACGAAAAATATATATATATATATATAATTACGGGGCAGCTCGGAGAAATGAGCGTGATCGCATTTGCTCGCTTAAGCCGATTCTTAACTCGGTTGGTACTTGACTTTAGGGGATTTACAACGAGGCTTTAGCGACACCTGGCGAAGAACATTATAAGCAAAAAACTCTACTATCACTAGAAATTTCTGTGACCCAATAGACCACCGCCTATACCCCATGAATTATTCTTCCAACTGTTCTGCTAGTGACTCTACCCCTCTAAAACCTCTATTTAATCGGAATCGAATTCAGAACAATAACTGAGCAGGTTGACAAGGCTCCCGCGTACTTAGCTACGTTGAACTACCTGGAACTTTTTTGTGACACAAAACAAGGCTGAAATAATCAATTCTTCTATCGCCCTTCCGCAACCTTGTCGAAATCTAACTTGAATAATTCAAATCGAACATTGAATTTTTGGGTGAAGGTGAGGTGGAGAACTATGATAGGAATTTTACTAGCTAAAATAATATGCTGGAATTAAAAGAAAAAGAGGAGAAAATCAGTTTGCTCGCGACACAAAACCGAAAATCTCATATTATTAAACTAGATAAAAATATGGGAGAAAGAAATGGAGAAAATTGAGTGTATGATTATGTATATATGGAGTATATATGGTACAATTAGAGGGATATTTATAGGGGAAAAAACTTCTAGAAGCTTGGCAGTTACAACCGCCAATAAATACTTACTTCTAAAAATAGCTACTAATTACCTCTAAAAATAACCATAAATAACTAACTCTAAAAATAGCTATTAATATAACTACTAATAACTACCTATTTTCTAGAAGGTCCTAGAATAAAAATTACACAAAATAGCCAAAAATTGGCTAAAAAGTAGTGCAGGAATTTAATTAAGGGAGCTGGGAGAGTATTGTAAATGCAGAAGCGGAGGGAACCACCGCTCAAATTCTACATAGAATTAATGCAGCCGCCGCTCGCGCACTCCTATACAGCCGTTGCTCAAATACTGTGCCAACCGCCGCTCAAATTCCGCACAACCACCGTCATAGAGTCCGCGCCAGCCGTCGCTTCGCTCACTTCCATATATGGCCTTATGTGCTCATAAATGCAGCCACTGCTCAAAAATTAATGGACATAGAATTCCGCTTCGCTCAAATTTCCGTGCAGCCGCCATCGCTTTAGGCGCCATCCGTCGCTCAGATTCCGTGCTCGCTCACTTTTGTTTAGCCGCCGCTCGCTTTTCGGGTTATCCGTCGTCGCTTTCCGCGCGGCTGTCGTCGCTTTCCGTGCTCACTCACTTTTGTGCAGCTGCCGCTCAGATTCCGCACAGCAGTTGACTTTGACTTTCGCATGTTGACTTTTCTGAATTGACCGTTGACTTTTGTTGACTTTTGCGCCGCTGACTATTTTTTCCCTAACCAAGACATTTTTTTTGCTTTTTAAGGCCAATTTTGGACTCTCAGACAAGTTTTCAAGCATTATTTTACATATTTTACATGTATAAACAATAAACACCTTATAAATATTTATTTAAATAAATAATACTTATTAAATAAAATTAATTTAATCAAAATTAAATACTTAAATAGCACATAAATAATGTATAAAAATATAACTCAAGAAACACATCAATTAATTTAATTTATACACCGAAATAATTATAAATTACACCTAAAAACTAATAAATTAATATTATACACACAAGATGAAATAACTACAATTATTAGAGTAAATTAACATAA